ATCACGTGCATAAAAGTGTTTTACAACGGACATGCACCCCCTTAGACCGTTTACAATAATTCCAAAGGATGTACTTATTTCATGGTGAGAAAGGTTATAACATATTATTACTGGTATTTTCTTCTCACTCTCATTTGATATAATAGTAATAATAACAACATTTATAATGCGCACATATCCACCCCCAAGAGATGCTCAAGGCGCCTAACAAGGTTAGTATACATTAAACTTAAGAGAACGAAAATAATTTAACATAATTAAATATAATTCAACAACGTTAATTACATCAGATTGTGAAATACACTATGTCTTAACTAAGGAATTCAGACATTCGATAGGTTTTCAATTTTGTTTGGAACACATTTTGATTGGCTGACATTTTGATTGAATGGGGTATATCGTAAGGTGATAGAAACTTGGCCAGCAGTATTTTGAGGTTGTGATTTTTGTGTGCAGACCAAAGACGTTTAAAAATAATTGGTGCAGACCCTTTAATTGTCTAAATACGGTCGATATAACCTTTCATAATTTTCAAGTAAGGTGACTCACGACCCTCTCTATTATTAGTCCGCATCAACCGGCATTACCCGCCCCTCCTCCACAAAAAAAAAATCGATGTTTAAATCATGAATAGCGACATTAATAAATCTCACACTCACTTATGTGTTTATAAAAGGGATAGAGAGGGAGAGAGAGGCTGGAAGAGAAAAAGAGGGGAAGAGAGAAAGGGGAAAGAGAGAAAGAGAGGAACAGAGAGAGGTACAAAAAGAGAGAAAAAAGAGAAATGCATAGATGAAGAGAGAGGGAGACGGGGGCGTTACAAGCTCGCCATCATATAGAACCATTCAATTTATATCAGTTGTGATATAATTGACAACGACAAAAGCGTAAAACTAGAACACGGCCGCAAATAAGATAATGACGCCTTTGTTGATATTTTTCGCTGCAATTCTACACACGCACCGAGATAAATCGTTTGACTCCGATGTGCAGTTAATGTTCGTTTCCAACAAACCGTCGGAGCTTTTAATTATCATAAGAATGATTTTCAAAGCTTCGATTTCTGTATTGACGTCTTTTCTTTACATTCAAATCAGCTTTGCAACAACTAGCACGTGCATGGAAAATTAACCGAGTCTCGCGCTTGTTGGAAGCTAAAGCTAGAAACATTGTACATCCTAATAAAATTGCAATTTCGCGAGCAGTTGCTGATATTTTCGGAATAAGAGAAATTATAAACTTCTAATCTTTCGCTCATTTCGCGTGTTTTCTACAAATTTGACGTGTAAGTCTCACAAGGACTACATGACGGTAAAAAGCATTGAAACATGAACAAATTCATTTGGAAATATGACCAGAGAGTAAAAAGTATCATCAGAAAGTCTGCATAGGCTTAAATAAGAATGATGTCATGGATATTTCATTAGCTGAGGCGTTTGATATAAATAAACTTGATACGATGAAACATCACAATACAAATGAACAAGGGGAAAAGGTCCAACATAGTCTAAGAACATTGAAAATGGGCATGTGGTCGACTTTGCGCCCCTCAGAACGAGTTTAGCTCCAATTTTATACCCCCATTACACTATGGCGAGACCAACGCTAGACCGACAGCAGAAGGGCATGAGACCGAACAGAAAACAAATTTCATGGTAAAAAATAAGTTTATCTGTAATCGGTGTAAAGTCAGTTTGGCGGTGTGACTTATCAGTAAACATTTCATACCAGTCACGTGCATCGATCACGTTTTTTTAAATGAATAACATTTCTAAAAATAATTGCATTCTGCTCTACAAAAATCCTGATGCGAAATGTTCTACCGGCGACCCTGGTTGTCTAGTTGTCATGGTAACGCATCATAGTGATGCTGGAGCTTAACTACGACATCTAACCCCGCACAACGGGCGCATGTCTCGATGAATACAAGCGGACAATCACATACATGATGTCATAATGATAATGAACCGCGGCATATCATGAACAATGAAACACGAAGGATGCACAATTGGAATTTTTAACGATCACATCTTTGAGCGGAACGTGGTGCTGAATTAGTATTACTCCAATTACAGATTCTGTATCAATTGTATCGCGTGATGTAAGTGGTTTCATTTTCGTCTGAAAGGCTGCAGTATTATATCACTGAAAGTATGAGAAAAAGGCTTCAATTTATATGTTTGTTAATGAATGAAAAAATTACAGGGAATGGTATTGCTTTGGATGACGTAAGTCGTTTCTTTTGTTTAAACAATTTATTTATATGTGCGATCAGGTACATTATCTTGATAAAGAATAATAATCATGTTTACCCCATAATCCCTACGTGAAGATCGCGTGAAAGTGAACAATAGACGCTGAATTGATAAATTGTGTTGCAAAAGTAAGCAATAATTAGGCTAATTAAAAAATAGTGTTCTGAACTTAAAATAGGTAAAAACTTAACGACCTTTTGTGGTGTGGGAGTAGGTGCCTCCTTAATTTATTGCACTATTGTTGAAAATTCCCCCTCAATTGATAACCTAAATCTGAAGAATTATATTAATCAGATATGTCTTGTTCTCTTGAAAAGTAATTAATGGTGGAAATACATTTCATGTTCATATATCGCAACATCTAAAAAATGTTTTTCTTAGCAGAATAAATCGTTGCTTGAAAAATTATTACATATTTATTTTTCGGTTAATAAAATTATCTTTGGTGAAATTGTAAATCAGAATAATCAAATCAATAAAACAGTTTTACTCTTCTCAAAAACAGGTGGAAACATGATGTATTATCGAAATTATAATTTTTCAAGATTATGCAGGTCGGAATATTCTCATGACCTTAGTGCAGCTCTTACAATGACAAAAAATGGAAACGTGAACAAAATAACTTTTGTGCCCTCTCTTCTTCTATTTATTAATGTCTGTCCAGTCCGCGAAACGTGTAGAGTACAATTAATTTCTCAAAGATGAATAGCTTCGCAAATGTAAAGCGAATCGAACAAACAATACTAGCTTTACAGGCACCAGTACAATTTTTTTTCATGAGACTTCTTTTTATAACTTTCTTCCAATATTTACCTGATTGGATTGAAAAATAATAAGGAAAACTGCTTAGTAACGGAGAGCGCCGTGGGGAGTATGTTTGTTCTTCAATGTGGAGAGAACTGTATACATCTACCTCAATCTTTGCTTTCCATAGGCGTTTTATTTATTTAGCCATCTCCCCTCGCAGTACTGAGCACGATACAGCATATGCACGCATGGTTTATCTGAACATTTCAATTTGATTTGCATATTAGTATTTGGTGAAGAGCGCCAAAAGTAACGGGCGGGATAATGTTGAATCGTGATGAAAAGTGTAAATGGAAAAAAGAGAGGAATAGATGGGAAGGGAAAGCGAATTAAGAGATTTAGAGGAAGTAGGAGAAAGGGTCACGCTTAGCACCTTTGATAAATCTATCTGCCTCTCATAATCAAAGAAATATAAGTGATATTATAATTTTTGATTAAGAATGATATTACATCCATGGGAGTACGACACCAAGTTGTTGTTTTTTAGTTACTGTTTTGTACAACTTAAGACAGTGAGATCAAACTACATTGTACGTGTGTAAGTACAGAGAGGGAGAGGTACAAGGAAAGGTAGGGGAGAGGGGAAGTGGCTTATGATGGACTGCTCTTCAGAGAAACTACATTTTAAAAATACGTCAGGTAATCTTACATGAAATAAACCAACTTATACCATGAAACAGTAACATTTAAACAAGCTGTTTGGCACAATGTAGGCGGAGATTCAGGATTTCGTAAAATAAGGGAGGGGTGGGAGTCGAGGGTCGAGGGAAAAGGTCCAAAAAATGTCACAAATAGTGGGAGGGGTTCAATGTGGTGTACTCAAGGCATTTCAGTTGGGTTTCAAAGGAGGGAGGCGGGCTTGGGCCTGTTTGAGCCCCTCCACCTGTGCTATGTAAGGTAGCTTGAGGCTCTTAATAAGAGGTCAATATAATTAACATTATTATGATATATTATAAGGTAGCTTAAACAAAAGTCAACTACTAGTGAACCTCAAGTTTAATACAGAACTATTCATTTCATCACTATTTAAGGAATATTTTTAACGAGAATTGTTGATTCATTTCAAATATGTACAAAGGTTAAAGAGGATTAAAAACACTTTGAAAATGCATTAAAGTTATCAAAGTGGAAGGGAATTTTATAGTGGGCGTTTCATTTGTTCTCTGGGTAGATAATCCAACTACATACTTAAACAAGTACTACGGTACTTTTAATATTTTGCTTCTCTACAGTTAACTTACATACTGTTAAATATGGGACATTGAAAAAGGGTAGGGTGGGGTGGGTGGGGTGGGATGTTGGGGAACTGAAATACACTACTCTAATTGGTTCCATCCAAACAAAAGACTGCTGCCATTTGCATGGGGCTTCAGTGAAGTACTTACTACAAAATTGTCAAGTAACAAGTCATGAGATCATACATCATTTCAAGTACATAAGCCTCACCAAGTATCAAGTGACATTTTCAGTAGCAATTCTAGAATACTCTGTCTCCATAATAAAATTCACCTTCGATTACGTAGGGAGTATATTTAGCACGCACGGTGGGCATGTTTCTCCGCACTCATAAAAAAGGGGGGAAAGGAAAACCCGGCAATCACTCAACTTCAGGTACAATCATATGATATCATTATGCGCGCCAGAAAGCAAATAAGTTCAGTTCAATGTCAACACTCCAGCAGACCTGAACAATCGAAGAGCGAACAAATACACCCGCCATTTCTGATATCAGGCCAGGGCCGCACCCTGGACAAATGAGGATCAGTGCACAACTCCGCGCGACGACCGAACTCTTTACTCACTTGCACATGTGGCAGATTTTGAATCGAGCTACTCCCATTTGCCGTTGTAATGCATTTCAAAAGAACAATAAGAAAAATCGTAAAATAAGAAGAAAAAAATTGAGTGGCATAATCAGTCCAATGAATTGGTACTTACCGATAGGGGGCGTTGTGGTCTGAGCCTGGGTCGTCATTTCTTGAGTGGTCGGTCCGTCTGTTGTAGTTTCAAGGGTACATATATTATTTACTACATGACAATCGCCATACAAAAATCAGCAGTGGATATTATCTCTTAAATTCACATAATATATTGAATCGTAATCTGTCCTACAAAATTACCATATTCCAGTAATGGGTAGTGATCGGATGTAAATGTATTAGTTTTATCAAAGTAAATAACATGTCTATCCATGATAAACAAAAATCTTTTTACTTTTAAAACAGTAAAACAGTAATGTTTTCAATACTTTTCCAAAAGTATGACATCCCTAAACTATATTAAAAAAACTGAACTAAATATAAATATAAAGTAATTTCATGATATATACAGGTATAACAACATAAATGTAATCCTACTGTTAAGAACTTCTTGTATTATAATGAAAAGACATAGCACTGCCAGTTACAAATTGAAAAGGGCGTAAATATCTTCTGTTCGGAGTAAATCAAAATGAGGTGATGCCCTTCTGGCTCCCAACATACGATATATGTCCCTTTTTTAATATTCTAGTACTTACGAATTATAGTCCTTTGATCATTGACAGTGCAACTTGTTTCTTGCATGTGAATGTACCAAAATAAACTTGTATCATACAACATATTTCAAAATGATATCTCTAAGATCATGCAACACCACAATCACAACATATAAGGAGAATTGCTAAACTATATTTCACTGCATTAACAAAGACAGTTGAGTGAAAAATTGTTATTTTTTTGCATGATTTTTACAAATATTTCTGAATGTGCAAAAAAAGGAGAAGTGAAAATTGCTTTGCCATGCAGATAGCAGCCCTCATGCAAGGATGCAAAGTAATGGATAGACAAGAAGGAAACAAAATCAGATCAATGAAAATCAGCCAAAACAAAACCATTTGGGGGAAACAAAAATAAATATATGTAGAATTAGGAACTATACCTGTGAATCACGGATATATATTTTTGTGTTAGTTAAGTTAATCAAAAAGTAAGCTCACAAGCACATATCACAGGTATAGTTAAAATCAACTCCTACGTATGCAACTCATCTCTCTGTTTCATCGAAATCATATCTTCAGATTGATTCACTGTTAAATTCCTCACAAAGTTCTTTAACACAAACAAGTTTACATGTTCTGAAATTACTGCATATCAACTGAACACTAGAGAGAGAAAATATCCATGTCGTCTGGTATCACATATTTGCAAAATCTATATCAGCATACTCCAAAATCTTGAGTTCCAAAGATAAGATACTGTTTAAATCTTTGTATTATAAATAGTGGATCTCTTCCTTCTACCAACACAAGTTGGAACAAAACAATTTCTCTAAATATTTGTTCTCCAATTCATCGTCAACAACTTCAACAGCATCTGCTTTCACATCTGAAAGAAACAAAATCTAACAAGCTAATCATCACATCACAATCGTACATTCTAAACACATCTACTTACCTGTTGTCATTCCAAGAGTTGTTGCTCCATCCTTTGTAGTAGGTTGTGTTTCCTCTGATGTCATCACAACAGCTGTAGTTGCACCACTTGCCATACTTGATGTCATGAGTGAATCTGTTGTGGTTGCAGCTTCAGTACTAGAACCCATTGGAATGGTTGAAACCTTCGGACTAGTCCCTGAAACAGTTGTCTGTTCTTCAGTTGTGACATCAGTACTAGTTTCATTTGTCACAACTACTGGGCTAGTCCCTGGAACAGTTGTCTGTTCTTCAGTTGTGACATCAGTAGTAGTTTCATTTGTCACAATTACTGGGCTAGTCCCTGGAACAGTTGTCTGTTCTTCAGTTGTGACATCAGTAGTAGTTTCATTTGTCACAATTACTGGGCTAGTCCCTGGAACAGTTGTCTGTTCTTCAGTTGTGACATCAGTAGAAGTTTCATTTGTCACAATTACTGGGCTAGTCCCTAGAACAGTTGTCTGTTCTTCAGTTGTGACATCAGTAGAAGTTTCATTTGTCACAATTACTGGGCTAGTCCCTGGAACAGTTGTCTGTTCTTCAGTTGTGACATCAGTAGAAGTTTCATTTGTCACAATTACTGGGCTAGTCCCTAGAACAGTTGTCTGTTCTTCAGTTGTGGCATCAGTAGTAGTTTCATTTGTCACAATGACTGGAGTTGTAGCATTTACAAATTCAGTCGTATCAGTTCCTTGCTCTGTAGTCGTGGAAGCAGTAGTAGTAACATTAAAAAACATTTCTGTTGTTCTCACATCAATTGTAGTTGAAACGTTGGCCGGTGTTGCTGTTGAACTTCCCCTGTCTGATGTTGTAGACTGTACCCCTAGGTCTGCATTATTTAAATGTGTTTTACAAGAAAATTTCAAGGGAAACTGGAGAAATATGCTAAGGAAAGAAAGGAATACCATCACAGAGACTCAGAGGAAAAGTGTATGTATATGACTGACAAAATACTTCTGAGTCCATAGATGTAGAAGCAGATGCACGCTTGACAAGAATGTAGAATAAAATGAGATTTCATGATAATGAAAATCATGTAGCATGCAAATAAATAAGATGAAAAAGATGAACAAATAGCATGCAAATTAACTAGGGTTCATAAGGAAGTTCATTTATCATGTCAGGAGTTTACCGAGGTGATCTTGAATGAAAAATAAATATATAGATAGCTTCATGTACAAGTATTACCAACATGAGTTTACAACATATTTGTGTTAGCACGGGGAAACGATTGAATGACTTATCGTCATCATCATCATGATGGTGATTGAATTCTCTGTTCCATTTTACCAAATTAATATAAAAAAATTATCTGATACGCTTTGGCATTTGGGTTTATCATCACGTAGCCAGTCATGCACAAATGAACTTCTTTAAGAACCACATATTCCACAACATGCAGAAATGGAACACCAAACAAATCAGCAACAAATGCGCATGCAATGCATTCATGAAAATGAGGGGATATATTTGAATGATTACATGTTTGAGATGTTATAGCATTGTAGTCAGCAAAATGAATGAGAAAATGTATCGATTGAGAACATTCACTGTTCATTGACGAAGATAATCATGAGTGGATTGAGAAGGAAAAAACAATGTTATTTGTCAGTTATGAGTTATTGGTGTTCAGTATGAATACATCATGATGAGTAACACTGGTGTAAATATCATTATCACTGGTATCATGCAAATATATTTATGTTAATTCATATAAAAAGACACATGAATGTGTATGTATGTTGTTGTCATTAACAATGTATGCATAACATGCAGTCTTATCATGGCTATCATGATTGATACATTAAAGAACAGGATCTCTTTTGCTTGTATCATCACAACATGGAGGGTGAAAACTAGAGACTCAACAATGAATGTAGTATTACTGTGGTGACACAACAAGAATAACTCACTGATGAATTGTGTTTATATTTTTGTTAGACACATGAAAGTGTATATATTGTTCAAGCAAGAAATGAACACGAAGTCTTTTAAATTACCTGGTGTAGACATATCTGAGGAGCTCATTGCATTTGTACTAACAAAAGCAGATGTTGTGGTATCAGCAGACTTTTCAGTGGTTCTTGAGTCCACTGTAGTGACATCCATTTTGGATGTCACACTCTCTGATGTGGTTTCTACGACAACCGCATCTGTTGTGTGTATTGTCGTGTGCTGGGGAGCACTTGTGATAACTTGTGTGGAAAGTGACTCAGTACTAAGCCCCATTGTGGTAGAGTTGTCTATTACTGGTAAACTTGTCGAGTCAGTAGTCATTTTGATTGTAGTAGTATCATCTACAATCACAGGTGTTGTAAGTGTTGGGGTAATGAAAGTGGTTGAAAATGGCAAGCTTGTGGTACGAGTATCTACTTCATCAGAAGTAGCAACATCAGAAACCAGGGTCATCATCTGAGTTGTTAATTCTATTCTTTGTGTTTGAGTGACTGGCTTTGAGGTTACTCCTATTTCATCAGTAGTAGCACCGTCAGACTCTTGGGTCGTCCCAAGTGAGGTTAGTTCTATTCTTTCTGTTGGAGTGATTGGCATTGAGGTAATTCCTACAGAGGAAAGATTATTTGTCATATCAGTAGGCAAGATGGCAGTGGTCTTTACTTCTGTTGTATATTTTTCTGAAGTGTAATCTTGAGTAAACAATGGAGTGGTTTGACTAAAGCTATCAGTTGTCAGTTTAAGGGTTGTAACATCAGATACAGATTTAGTGGAAATTTCTTGTGTGGGTGTGGTCAACATGGACTGTTTGGTTGTTCTGCTATCCGCACTCACAGGCACTGTTCTTTCTGAGGTGACTGAAACAGTTGTTTTGTCTGACGATTGTTCTGTGAATGTCTTATCAGTCGTAATGCCACTTGTTGAAACAGACAAACTGTCGGTTGTAGGCCCAGGTGTGGTTGCAGAAGTACTTAACATCTTATCAGTGCTTACTGCAGGAGTTTCAGTCATTATCCCCAAATCTGTCGTCGACCCACTTGTTGATAAATCAGTTGTCATACTCTTGGACAACATGTCTTTTGTTGCATCCATTGTGGATAGGCTTGTTGTGACACCCATTGTAGATTTATCTGTTGTGATACCCATTGTAAATTTGTCTGTTGTTGCACCAACTGTACTTTTATCCACCGTCACACCCATTGTCACTGAATCACTAGTTAAATCTACATCAGTTGTTACTCTCATTGTGGAAAAATCGTTTGTTACACCTTTTGTGGTCAAATCCATTGTTACACCATTCGTGGACAAATCGGTTGTTAAACCCAAAGTAGATTTCTTTGGAGTCAACGCAAATGTTGTAAAATCTGTACTCATACCCGTTGTTGAAGCATCCTTTTTAATGACTGATGTTGCAAGATCTGTAGTCATTCCTTCGGTATAAACGTCAGTTTTAAGATCTGTAGTGTAGTCAGTGGTAGAGACTGTAGTAATAGGTTTAGTCAAATCTTTTGTGACGTTTCCATTGGAAACGGTTGTTAAATCTGTTGTGAGATCGGTTGTTATACCTGTGGTAAAATCGGTTGTAAAATCAGTGGTAAAATCTGTAGTTACATCTGTAGTTAAGTCTGTAATATACTCTGTTGTTAATTTGGTTGTAAAATCGGTGGTAAAATCAGTGGTAAAATCAGTGGTAAATTTGGTTGAAGAATCAGTGGTAAAATCTGTTGTGAAATCCGTAGTTGTAAACTGAGTTGTAAAATCAGTAGTCATATCTGTAGTGAAATCTGTTGTAAACTGAGTTGTAGAATCAGTAGTCATATCTGTAGTGAAATCAGTTGTAAACTGAGTTGTAAAATCAGTAGTTATATCTGGGGTTAAGTCTGTAGTAAATTTGGTTGTAAAAGCAGTGGTAAAATCTGTAGTTACATCTGGGGTTAAATCTGTGGTTAAATCTGTAGTAAATTTGGTTGGAAAATCAGTGGTAAAATCAGTGGTAAATTTGGTAGTATAATCAGAGGTAAAATCTGTTGTAAAATCAGTAGTCATATCTGTAGTGACATCAGTTGTAAACTGAGTTGTAAAATCAGTAGTCATATCTGTAGTGAAATCAGTTGTAAACTGAGTTGTAAAATCAGTAGTTATATCTGGGGTTAAGTCTGTAGTAAATTTGGTTGTAAAATCAGTGGTAAAATCTGTAGTTACATCTGGGGTTAAATCTGTGGTTAAATCTGTAGTAAATTTGGTTGTAAAATCAGTGGTAAAATCAGTAGTATATTTGGTAGTAGAATCAGATGTAAAATCTGCTGTGAAATCCGTAGTCATATCTGTATTGAGATCAGTTGTAAACTGAGTTGTAAAATCAGTAGTCATATCTGTAGTGAGATCAGTTGTAAACTGTGTTGTAAAATCCGTAGTCATATCTGTAGTGAAATCAGTTGTAAACTGTGTTGTAAAATCAGTAGTCATATCTGTGGTGAAATCAGTTGTAAACCGAGTTGTAAAATCAGAAGTCATATCTGTAGTGAAATCAGTTGTAAACTGAGTTGTAAAATCAGTAGTCATATCTGTAGTGAAATCAGTTGTAAACTGAGTTGTAAAATCAGTAGTCATATCTGTGGTGAAATCTGTTGTAAATTGTGTTGTAAAATCTGTTGTGAATTCAGTTGTGAACTGAGGTGTTGTAGTAAAATCAGCTGTAATAGTTGGAAAGAGAAAGGCATAATAAACCAAACAAAAGAAATGAATTTCTGAATAAAAGATGAAGAAAGCAGCCTTAATACATGACATTTCCCACAGCTGATGATTTTTTTGAGGAAAAAGAAGGGGCGGGTATTCTGAAAGCGAAAGACATTCAAGCATTTATCACAGCAAAATCGGTGCCTTACTATGGTAAAGAAAACATTTGGGGGGCTTCAAAATGACTGCAGTCTTGTGATATGAAAGGTACATTCTACTACACATCTTTCTCCTTTTTTGCAAGGTTATATATAAACAAAGCAACGTTGAATCTATTTGAAAATCTTATTATCATACCTCAACAGAAATGTTCAATGTATAGAATAAACAAGAAAATATTGTTCTTGAAAAAACGTTAAGTACTCAATTTTGTAATCATCTATCGTCCAAAGTGTTCACTGAAATACTTTACTATATATGTATCATTATCTAAATTATATGTTTTTTGTTACTAACGCTAAATAGAGTATGGAAATGGTATACTAAATTACTGGTAGAAAATTTGCAGAGGACTCACTGACTATTTTTTTGAGCTGAGATATAGGTGGGAATTTTTAAAGCACATTTAAAATAAATCTTCTCACAATTTCAATGACAAAATATACTACAGTAATTGAAATACAGTGAACAAATATTTTTTCAAGAGAGTTTGTTAGTTACAATACAATTTCTAGCATACATTTTACCATTAAAGGATTTATGATAATACTTTAGATTTAATATCCAAATAAATCCCTGCAAGTATTCGCTATATCATGCAATTCAATTTTGTTTCTTGTATGAATTTTATGGTTTCAGTCAATGATTGGACCATGCGTGTAAGGCAGTGAAATGGTGCTCTTTGCATTCACCTGGGTCTCCATTTCACAAGCAATAAGTCAAAATGATCTTGCATTAGTTTAAGCATCCCGCTATACCATGAGTAGTTGGAAAGTTCATGCAAATTATTTTCTTTTTTTGATATCAGGAGTCTTTCATTGATGGAAATGTTAAAAATGAATGGTTCAAATCAATATTACCTCTTTCACCAGATCATAATGGATTTTGCATTCAATAGTGCAATGTGCCTTTATTACTATGTAATTAAAAAGCATCCCAATCACCAATTGCAGTCTAGTTCATGCATGAATTTGCAAAATGTCTCCAAATTCTTACTTTATACTTGACCCTACAATAACAAACACATACCTGTTGTAGTGATCATCGGGGTTGTTGGCATTTCCGTGACTGGGGATAAGATTTTAATACGATTGCACATGAAAAGAAGTTCATGGTAAACATGAACATGAACAAACTCTGATGTGAATTTACAAATCACTATGCAGTAAAAGTGGTATGCTCTCTGAATTTACAGTCACTACGCTTGAATCCCTTCACTTTCTTAAATGCTATTTCCTTGAGCATTAAAGAAATTTTTGACAAAATAAATGTCATTGATAATGTACTCAATTAGAGTCATCATAAAAGGCACATGGTGAGAGGCCTTTACCTCTTATCTTGCATCTCAATATATGTCTCGCTTGCAATAATGATTTGATTAAACATCCTTTGTTTTCTGATGCTAATTTAATTATCTGTTTTATTTACTGGCTTCACTTCAATAACTTGAATAATGAGACCCAAATATATAATAATTCTGAATTATAAAATAATTAAGTAATCATAAGGAAAAACATCAATCCGTTATTCATTATGTTTTTTCTGCATTGCTTTTTTTTAGTTGTATAGCAAATTTTTATAATATCAGTCTTCTTTTTAACCCACAGTACATTTTTGAATTGTGATTAGAAAGTGCACTGAATTTAATTTATGCCTATACCAATATTTTTCACTTCATTTATGTAACATCATATTTTACCCAACTCCCAAAATGTCTAGTTAATTATATTTTATTTCTTTAGTTTGTTTTACTTTATTGTTTGTATACCTATATATCATGATTGTCATGATTGTATGTACTTGTATTCGCAATTGGCCTTTGTCCACCATGAATATTTTTAATACGCTGTTTCAATGAAAAATATTCATACAATTAGAATTGCTTCGATTACTACATATTTGCTGCCCATTTAAACAATAAGAGTGGTATGTCCCTAAATTATACAGAAGATGTATTTGTGGGAAAGCAGGAAAGGGGGATATCAGTCATAACACCTGAAAAAAATCTCTCAAATTGAGAGCATTGATACATACTAAACTATACATAGCATACACCATCTAAAAAACAAATCCTTAAAGGAATAGACCAATTTTGGCAATGCCCCCCTCTCAAAAAATGAAATGGAAGCTCTTATTACCTATTTTGTGAAATAATATGTTTTGACTAATACGTGATGATAAAAATTTTGCCGGGAAACCGCCTACTAATTGATATATTTGGTAAATTACTATATCTATCCAGACTGGATATATATCGTGTAGTCCAATATACATCTTTTTGTGCACATGCAGTACTTGTAACTTTACCAATTAGACTGGGCTAAATTTCTTATCATTTTGATGATTACAGAACCTTGCAGTACACACCAATACTTATATGCTAGATGATCAACCTTTTCTGATTAATTTCACAATGTTTCTTTCACAATGCAAACACATCACCACAACTGGTCCATACCTTTAACCAGAGAGTAAGCACGTTCTCAGTCAAAATTTAAACTGTTACAAAAATGTGTTTTGAGAGATTCTAGAAAATGTATTCAATATCACTCTTACCTTCGATGCAATCAAGACCGTCACCCAGGAATCCTTCCATGCAGATACACCCTCTCTCTCCTTCCTCCACGCCACAGTAGGCATTGGGATCACATGACATGGATTCACAGATCTGATTGGCTCCAGCTTCACAAGTGCAAACACGTGAACAATTCACCGACACAAAGCTCTCGCCAACCTTCAAGAGAATGATGAGATCTTGGTAAAAGTATAGGCCACTTAACCATGCAGTAACCTCTGGAATAGGTATTCTGTGATTTTCCCCTTGTTGCATTTCGCCAAAGATATATGATTAGGGCTTGGCTTGACGATAGGAATTGAACTATATATTGTATTAGAAAGTGACCATGCCCATGGAGCATTTGTCAGTGATGCATAAATACGTCATACAATTGTTGAATTCCAAGCCCACTCAAACTTTGGACAAAAACCTCTTGGAAATACTGTACATGCTGATTGAAAAGTAGCTTTGCTTGAAGTAGAAAGCCAATCGAGACTGTATTCCTTTAAGCCATATCACCAATCAAGCAGGTTCATAAACAGAATACCATCATATGAAAATTTAGATGAGAAAGAAGCTGTTAAACACTTGAATACATTCCTTGCACATTGCTAATATTTGGCAGTGATGCAAGGGTGATGTATAAATGTAACTTGCTACTGATATATTGCCATTTGTATACATTACCTATCTCCAGTCTACAATTATGAATCAAATTCTTTGAACAAATACATGAAAAAACAGCTCATTCAAAAGCAGCCTTTTTTAATATCCTACATTGACATAGACTGAAACGGGGATGTTCATCTTACCGGAAGATATAACTCCAGCTCTTCATCCGTGAAGACACACCCACACTCCTCTCTTGGTACACACTCCCCATCAGCCAGAACTGAACCCTCGGGGCAGACACATCCTTCCCTACACTCCGTCTCATCGTTGCAACCCTCTCCTTCGGTCGTGCCAAAGCAGGTCTCTGGGCATGCAGGGACGCAGGGGGAGGAGATGAAGCCTTCGGGACACTCAATTGCTGCAAAAGAATGACAAAATGGAACACATTTGAATAGCAAAATTTAAATTTGAAAAGACAAATTGCATCTTGTCTATATGTGCTTGTTTTAACTAATGCCATTGTCATTTGTCTCATTTCTCCTCGTAACGAAGGAAATAATGTTACTAGGGAAGAGATATATTCCTTTTTAACAGCTCTGGTAAACAGCATGCACCTACATACACATGTACAAACACATACACATGTATACAGTGAGCTCTATATTTGTGTGGTAAAGAATAATTTTTTTTGAAAATTAAAAGGAAAGCTAAGGAAAAAGTAAAAAAAACTGTGCTTGATCACTAAGAAAATGGATTCTTGAGGGAAAAGAGGGCTCACAAAGATAATGTTGCTAAGTAACATAGTTTCACCATGTTTTCAACATGTTTTCAAATAGACAAACTTCTACTCCTTCTCCTGAAGGTGATCAGAGTGTACCGATCAAAATGTTGAGAACCAAATGGCTCTTAGCTGAGTTCACCAGCCATTTACAGGGCTCTTACTCCTTTGAAAGCACATGGTGCAACCCTTAAAACTTTCCTTACGATTATATTCCTCCACCATGGAAAGTATTGCTATTACTTCACCTTTAAAAAATAACCATCGTAAAATATTAAGGTACGCTATGTTAATGTGGAACTAATACACTTCATTCTTCAAACCACAAAATCTTGAATGTACCATGCATATTGTCTAATTTAAAAGTTGCATTAATCTCCTCTATACCTGTCTTTGATGAGACCTAAATATATAGCTTGGGGGTAAAGTTAAACTTACGACAGAACTCTGCAGATCGCCAGGTGTTTGGTGGGTAGCCCAGTTCTATGCAACGTTCAGCATACACGCTTGTATCGTCACAGACCACAGTATCGTTGGGTGAAGTGGCACACGCATCGTATGAGCAGTACTCAAAGAATGGTGTCGGATCAAGGAATGGATGGCATGGCACAAAAGGACCTACAGTTTACAAAAAGGTTTGAAATTGTAAATATGAGCAATATATTCTGCTTCCATAGATATTGTGCCCAAATAAGTATATTTACCTCAATACCTGCTTCTCCTCAAAACTGATCAATGAAGGATATTTCTTTCATATTTTGGCATGGTACCCAACAGGACTTGCATAATCCCCCAATAAATTAAATAAAAATCCCTACATTAATAATTAACATGTGTACATGCAAAGGGATGCTTAACTCTTTATGCGCCACTTAAAAAAAACCCCTGTGCCACATTCTTTTAGGGTCACACATTTCGAGGGAATCTTTATTGACTCTGCTGAATCAAGAGGCTATAACTCTTCACTGGATGATCATGATGAAAAATATTGTGCAGCAAAGTTGTAGACCGGAAAACGTGCTTTTCGATGAACCGTCATTTGTTATATTTTGAATTATCATTTTTATAATAATCATAATTATATAATGTTTAATTTTTCTTATTTACGGCAGTTTTTTATCCCTCTAGAATTTCTTATTTAGCAATGATAAGACATCTTCAAATCGAATCTATTAGAAAGGTGGACTTCTTACCTTTCTTTACATACCTTGCTCAAGTATTCTAACAATTCAGAAGGTTAGTATTTAGGTTGTTGAAGAAAAGAAGTTCAATAGGGAGAGACTTGAAAGTACCCCGCTCAGCCACCCTTGACAATGGGCTAATCTGCCCATTGAAATCCCTATTACCCCAGGTTATTGTCAATGTCCGGTTTAGCGGGGCATGAAAAGGGACGTCGTGGGGATGTTTTTCTTTGTTGTGCCATGATAAGTCAATAAGAAATAAGAGAATGTTATTGATTTTGCCCACTGGTATGAGCATGTAAAAATGGTATAGGCATAATATATTATATGTGATATACATGACATAATCAGCATCTTATTGAAATGTCTCATTATGAATGTTCACCGCATCTGTTCTCTCACCTTCTTTACCCCTCAATAAAATTGATTTCAAGTACATTTATCACAGCCATAGATATACAAAGAAAGAATGAATCAATCTTAAAATATAAACTATATTGCATTGTTTTCCATTTACTTTATTGTGAGAGAGCTTATTATCAGAAATGATTGACGAGTGGAGTATGCAATGAATAAAATATGGAGAACGGACGTGAGAGACATTATGAGAGAGAAATAGTGATATGAAATGAAAGGACTTTACTGTGAATAAAGATTATAAGAGAAAGAGATAAAGATGACGGCAAGACAGGATACATATTGATACGAAAATAACAATAATAATGAGATAGAGATGACGGAAAGAAAGAGAGTAAACACTGATAGCATAAGAATGAATAAAGATAATAAGAGAAAGATATAGAGATGACGGCAAGACATAGGGTACATATAGATAGGAAAATGATAATAATAATAAGATAGAGATGACGGAAAGAAAGAGAGTAAACACTGATAGCATAAGAATGAATAAAGATAATAAGAGAAAGATATAGAGATGACGGCAAGACATAGGGTACATATAGATAGGAAAATGATAATAATAAAAAGATAGAGATGACGGAAAGAAAGAGAGTAAACACTGATAGCACAAGAATGAATAAAGATAATAAGAGAAATATATAGAGATGACGGCAAGACATAGGATACATATTGATAGGAAAATAATAATAATAATAAGATAGAGATGACGGCAAGAAAGAGAGTAAACACTGATAGCATAAGAATGAATAAAGATAATAAGAGAAAGATATACAGATGACGGCAAGACATAGGGTACATATAGATAGGAAAATGATAATAATAATAAGATAGAGATGACGGCAAGAAAGAGAGTAAACACTGATAGCATAAGAATGAATAAAGATAATAAGAGAAAGATATAGAGATGACGGCAAGACATAGGGTACATAATTATAGATAGGAAAATGATAATAATAATAAGATAGAGATGACGGAAAGAAAGAGAGTAAACACTGATAGCATAAGAATGAATAAAGATAATAAGAGAAAGATATAGAGATGACGGCAAGACATAGGGTACATATAGATAGGAAAATGATAATAATAATGAGATAGAGATGACGGCAAGAAAGAGAGTATTACACTCATAGCATAATAATGAATAAAGATAATAAGAAAAAGATATACAGATGACGGCAAGACATAGGGTACATATAGATAGGAAAATGATAATAATAATAAGATAGAGATGACGGAAAGAAAGAGAGTAAACACTGATAGCATAAGAATGAATAAAGATAATAAAAGAAAGATATAAAGATGACGGCAAGACAGGATACATCTTTCTTTCATTAGTTTTATTCATTCTTATTCTATCACTGTCTACTCTCTTTCTTGCTGTCATCTCTAGCTCTTTCATTAATTTTTATTCATTCTTATTCTATCAGTCTACTCTCTTTCTTGCTGTCATCTCTATCTCTTTCTTTCATTATTTTTATTCATTCTTATTCTATCACTGTCTACTCTCTTTCTTGCTGTCATCTCTATCTCCTTCTTTCATTTTTTTTATTCATTCTTATTCTATCAGTCTACTCTCTTTCTTGCTGTCATCTCTAGCTCTTTCATTAATTTTTATTCATTCTTATTCTATCAGTCTACTCTCAGGGAACACTTTTATCACTAGAGTCTTCGTCACTGCTCGATTCGTCGGAATCAGAGTCCATGCTCCATGCTTCCATAGTAACAAGATCTCGAGCCTCCTCTACACTAAACACACGTTGACGTTTTCCAGCAGGTGCCATCGTAACATCAGTAAAAAAAATCCAAAGAAAACCGCTAAATACACGGTAATTTCGAATGTAACACTATGAAGAAAAACAGTTTACCGGAAAGTGTGCGATGTATACAATGTAAACAATAGTAAACGCAACGCGTGGCTACACACTGCGAGCGGTATTATGAATGTCTAATTGACTCGTATACATCTGTGCAAAAATGCGAAGTTGGCACGCCTACGTCCGTGCAAATCGGCGAACAAAGCAAACAAAGAGTTAAAATGCCTGCAAACTTACTGCCATTACTCTGGCTTTAGCTATTAGCTGCCCAAAGATGCTAAAAGCATCCAAATATTTTTTCCTACAACCTAACAACTACATGTACATGGAATGATGACAGTATAATGTTCTTAATTTTCATCTTTTCCATTGTGAACACATGTTACACAGAGAAACACACTTCAGATTGTATTTTTATATGTCACAAACCAGTCGGTTTCAAGAAACTAGCAACAGGGTTCTAAATTTGCATCTTTTCTGATGATATTTAAATATGTCACAAATAAGTCTGGTTCCAAGGAACTAGCACGGGGGATTCAAAATGCAACGGAAATGTACCTTCAGGATCTAGTACAATGAAGCAAGCATCCTGAGCAAACAGGAAGTCATCATTCTCTTGACATGGTTCGGGCTCATCGATAGAGACACCACATTCTAGAACACCTGGAAGAACCCAGCCATTGCCAAAATCCAAGGCCTTGGTTACCTGTAAAGCAATTTAATAAATATATTTTAACTCCCTGATTCTTGAGATACACGACTGGATCTAAAGGGTAAATGATTAAAAAAACTAAAACAAACAAAAACAAACAAACCAAAAGGATCATTAACAATAATACTAACATCAAAATACCTGTATATTTTGCATACTTTTGGGAAACCCAAAGGAGAATAAATATTAATGTCCATTAATGTAAAATGTCCATATGCCTATATACAAATTGTGAATGACTGCAGACAATTCTGAACATCACAGTTTACACATATTAATGTATAATGCAAGAGAGAACTCTCAATTCGAGAGTATGTCACAGCCATTAACAAATAATTTTTAGTTTCTCACCACCACATTGTTGAGGAGCCTGAAGTCATTATCAGGGTTTGCATCATAGTTTCCACACAGTCCACAGAGGGCACCATGGTAAGAAGAAGGCACAGTGATCGTTGCCGTGTTTCTGTTGTTCCATTGGATCTTGATACCAACAACTGTCCTTATGATCTAAAGAAGAAATAGAGCAGGGTGAAGCGCATGACCATTTCACCCTCACACAAGTATGTAACACATTGTCAAACAGAATTTTACAATTAGGACTTCACGATACACTTAATTGTGGTAACGTCTTCCATTCTATACCTGAAACAGTGTTCTGTTCATTCAACTCCTTTAATTTTCAGTTATTGTGACATTCCTCAAGTAGAAGGATTAACTCAAGTACATTATTTAATGATTTATTAATTGAGATAGGATTTACCATGAACAGCATAGAAGAAGTAAAATAAATGGTCATAATCAATATCTCTCTATGAATAATGATTATTCATAACAATATACCAAACTAAAATGTGAGTATATAGTGTCAGGAAAATATGTCATAATTCAAAAATAGGAGCATAAAAACGTTAATATTACGATGAATCACATATGCAATATTGAATGGGAGAATAATAGTTGTAACTTGTAACCATTCAAGCTCAAATTGAAAGAAATGAGCGAAATATAGTTGGGGTAACAAACTTACAGTGTCTTTTCCTGAAGTGAAGACATATATTTGTCCTGAGTTGATGTTAAGTGGAATATTGACAGAGACTCCATCAAGGTATACACCACCGCCAAGAGTCAACAAGATATCCTGATGAAACAATTACAATGTGAGAAACCAAGTGTGAGAGAATTAGACCACTTAAAAAGCAATTCATTTAAATAAGGTACAAAAACAGCTTTACAAGGAAAAGTTATAATTTTGATTTATATAGTACTTAATATGAAAATACAGTTTCTAAGCAATTTATGGATATCATTGCCCTGGTCATCAAATTCAGTCAATCAATGTGCACCATCTCCACTCCATGGGGAGTATTCCTACCATATAATCACCATCAAGGCATATTCCAAGTACCTCAAAGAATATGGTTATCCTACAAGGTCACCACTTTTTTTCCTGGATGTGGAGTGGCAAATATAGATTAATGCCTTGCCAAAAGTTTAAACTTTATATAGTATAAACTAAAAAATATTCATATTTTGAAATCTGAAGAAATATCAAACTTCATCTGCCTGCCACTGTTCACCCAAGTGAGGTTAATAGGTACCAGGTAGTTATCAACTCCTAAATGTTTCAGTGCCTTCTCTCTGAAGCTTGTATGTAGTTAGGTTGATAATAGTAACAAACAATTGGTATTCTACGGAAACATCACTTTATAAACCCATGTATCATCGATTTCTAACCTTTCCATAGATCTCCAATCTGACCTCGTTGATGTAGGCGACCTTATCCTCTGGGTTCCTCTTGATGTTCCCTGAGCTGATAAGGAATGAGGGGTGAGAGGTCACATTGTAGCAGTCTCGTACCAGGGTGTAGTCACATTCTCCGTGGAAATGGAACTTGCGCCCATCAAATGTCTCGTAGTGGGGGTCGCCCCACACTGTGCAAGTACCAGGATCTATTGTTGGGGGATGGAAGTGCAAGGTTAAGTTTAGAAAGCACAAAATTAGGGCACACATTGCTTGGATTGTCTGTAACTCTTACATTTCTCTTTTCAAAAGAAGAAGAATTTTCTTTTTCAGGATGAATATTGTATTTCTATAGATGTACATCTACAATAATCAATATTTGATATGTAACAATAAATGTAAAGGCATATTTAGGCTTCACTATTAAAAATAAAAGATTCTCTTATGTTTATCCATTCTTGGAGAAGTATGGTCATATCATGAGATACTTATACAGAACAGGGCTACATAAATCCATGATAATCACATTATACATTTTAGTGCCTTCATCTGAGTTGTCTCACTTCTACAAAAGTTTGCTGATGTTTTTGTTGCAAAGAGCAATCAGGTGAAGAAATTAAAGTTACAATATAAGTTACGTTATTATTATTATTATTATTATTAAAGTGGACTGCAGGGCTTCAAATGAAATATTACAATTTTATATTTTTTTGTTTACCTCGTGTGCAATTATAGCCATCTCCACTCCAGCCATCAAAGCAGTAGCACTTCTTGATGCCGTCCTTGATATCACAGTTAGCGAATTGATGACAGGTGTTCTCCGTACAGATGACCTCTCCTGCCATGCAGGTACAGGTCTCTGAGCAGTTATCATTGTTCCAGGATTCACCAGGCTAAGAACACATAGGACAGCATTTGTGGGTGATTATTATCAACTCAAATCTGTCTTTAACAAATGTTGGATATTGCAATATTGTCTTCTGAGTGCGGCCAGAAGGGTGAGTATATCCTTTAATTTAAAAAAAGGTAATTTCCTTCTGAAAGAAACAACTACAATCCTGCTTTCAACAGCTACTCAAAATTGCATTTTAAAAAAATAATGAAAGAAAACAATAATATTGTACAATTGCATCATTGGCAATTAGCTGCGGCTCATGCTAAAAAGCAGAATCATCGATTAAGCATGTATCCCACCGCTGCCACCATTAATAAACAAAAATTCATGTATAAACGACTACAGATTTTGACAAAAGACCATTCTAGTGGTCTATGATAGCAGAAATTTTAATTACCAGATTGCTATCAATGTCCCCTTTACATATAGGATAAATGCTCAAACATGTTAGAAAGAGAGTTTGTAATAGCAAAGCCACTTGGATTCATAAAAAATACTTTCATCAAATTGTAAATTCTGTACAAAGATGCCTAGAACACTCACCGAGAGGTAGACATTGTTGTCCAGTGTGCATCCACACTCCTCAGGGTCAACACACTCTGTGCCATCCAAGACCATGGAGTCTGGACAGCGGCAGGTCTCTATGCAGGGAAGGGTGCAGTTGAAAGCACTGGAGAGGTCTGAGCAGGTCGTAGGGCACGCAGAGGCACAGGGGTCATAGACTGAGGCTCCAGGACATTCATAGGCTACCCCACAAAAAGAAGTACATCCAGAAGACATCAATTCTCTATGGTATGCTTTTATCAATATATATGCTGAATCAGACATTTCAGTCAGCTGGTACATGTATCTATGAACGTAAATAAAATATCTCTGAACCTAAAAAAGATCATTGTTATACATTGTTAAATACAACATACAACTTAAAAAACAGATCATTGATCAAGTGAGAAAATATATTTGAGGACTAGGGAACTATCTTTGTTCCAGTGATCTTGAGGCAGCAGACAGCAAGACACTTTATGAATAATCACCTCGCTTGAGAAAGTCTACATGAGTGAATGAAAGCTTGCCTACTTAATTTTAAGATTTGTAGAAGCTTAAACTACATTTCATGACTATCCCAACATTTGAGGACTTACCACATTGAGGAGTCTTTGACCTCCAGTCTTCAGGAGCGCCACCTGCCAGTCTGCATGCAGAGGCGTACCCATTCAGGCTGTCACATAGATAGTCATCATCGGGAAATCTGGCGCAGAGGTCATACTTGCACGCCGTTTGGTAGTCAGTTGGATCAACAAAGTCATGGCATGGTGAGAATGGACCTGTTAGCATGGAGTTTTTATAAAACAAGGAATGCATAATTATCCTAAGAGCAACATGCAAGGTTAGGATTATTACTGCAGAGCGATTCATGGCGGCTCACATGTCATACAGTACACCTGGTTCTATATTTAAACAGTAAAATATTTTCACTGATAAATGTTAGCAGAACATATTCCACACATTTCTAAAAGTGTCAATATATCAATAGCAATTGTTGTATTAGGTTCAACCATAACACACAAGAATGTACATTGTGATCCTCATTCGGTTTTAGCCTAGGGGGCATTATAAAGTGCTCATGTCATCCACATACTTCTTCATACCAGGATCTTCTTTACATTTACAAGAATTTCTTTGTGGAGACTACTGCAGATGAAATGCCTTGAAATGGGTTCAAGCCTCTAAACCTCTCAGTTGGAAGTCTAAAAAATGAACCACCATACTCTGGTTTTAAACTGACTCAAAATGTATTATCAACCAGAAGTTGGAATATCAGACACATTAATGGTAAAAACATAAAGTATAAAGGATCTTCAACATCATCATACCGTCTGGTTGTAAAAGAATGTAGCATAAATCTTCAGCTTGTTTCAGAGTCTCTCCACCCTCAGCGCAGGGGTCTTCAGGTTCTTGAATGATGTCACTACATTCATCTCTATTCACCACCCAGCTATTGGCAAAGTCTGTCTTTTCTTCCCGCTGAGGTGAGACAAAAAAAAGTATGAAATAGTGAAATCTCAATCTAATCAGAGCATGATAGCAATAAAAAAAAAAACAATCCATATACATTTATATCAAATTTTTGCGAGTAGTATTTACCTCAAATAGCTAAAAATGCAATCAAATCACAGGTTAACTATATACGATGTAAATTCTAACATTTAGGAAATTGAAAGTGAGGTTAAAAATATAATGATATTAGAAACATAAGTAGATTTACAATGGTAAATCTACTATTCAGGAAATTAAAAGTTAGGTTGATGGTATGAAATTGCTACACAGTTTGAAATTAAGATTAATGCTCTTTTAAATTTCAAGTCTATACAAAATTAATGTCTACTATAAACAATAAAAGGGGTCAACTAAGTTAAAAGGGATATGACTTTTCACTCTTCTCGAACTGGCAATATCTACATACATTATAATTCATACATTACATGAGTTGCCCTACAAAAACAAACTAATTGACTACTCAATAGGCGCATTTATACTGTCAAATACCTCATTTTGAAAAGTCGCGATGTTTCGCGCAGCCGTTTACACTTGTGCGGAAACATCACCGACTGAAAAGCTCAGTGATGTTTTGGCGTGTTTCAGTTGGTAATGCGCATGCGCGGCACTCCGATGCAAACACTTTCCTCTTTCTATCTTTCCTTGTTATTCTTTGTTTTTCCTTCTATCACCTTCTCTTATGTTATTCTTTATCACTTCCTTCTATCACTTTCTCTTTCTGTCTTTCCTTATGTTATTCTTTATTTCTTCCTTTTATCACCTTCTCTTATGTTATTCTTTGTTTTTTAATCATTCTATCACTTTCTCTTTCTGTCTTTCCTTATGTTATTCTTTGTTTCTTCCTTCTATCACCTTCTCTTATGTTATTCTTTGTTTTTTATCATTCTATCACTCCCTCTTTCTGTGTTTCCTTATGTTATTCTTTGTTTCTTTCTTCTATCACCTTCTCTTATGTTATTCTTTGTTTTTTATCATTCTATCACTCCCTCTTTCTGTGTTTCCTTATGTTATTCTTTGTTTCTTCCTTCTATCACCTTCTCTTATGTTATTCTTTGTTTTTTAATCATTCTATCACTTTCTCTTTCTGTCTTTCCTTATGTAATTCTTTGTTTCTTCCTTCTATCACCTTCTCTTATGTTATTCTTTGTTTTTTATTATTCTATCACTCCCTCTTTCTGTCTTTCCTTATGTTATTCTTTATTTCTTCCTTTTATCACTTTCCTTATGTTATTCTTTATTTCTTCCTTCTATCACTTTCTCTTTCTGTCTTTCCTTATGTTATTCTTTATTTTGTCCTTCTATCACTTTCTCTTTCTGTCTTTCCTTATGTTATTCTTTATTTCTTCCTTCTATCACTTTCTCTTTCTGTCTTTCCTTATGTTATTCTTTATTTCTTCCTTCTATTACTTTCTCTTTCTGTCTATCCTTATGTTATTCTTTGTTTCTTCCTTCTATAACCTTCTCTTTCTGTCTATCCTTATGTTATTCTTAGTTTCTTCCTTCTGTCACCTTCTCTTATGTTATTCTTTGTATTAATCGTTCTATCATTGTCTTCAAAAGGACGACATCTAGCTAGCCCCGCTCCTCAAGTCACTTTACATAACATCGCGATGTTACAACTGCGAGCGTTTATACTTGCCAAACACGCCAAAACACGCCAAAACACGCCAAAAGATCACACTTCGTTTTGGAATGTTTGGGGCTTGGCGTTTCTGCCGGTAAAGCGTAGTTGCCCTTGGTAACATCGCGGCCAGGCTCCGGTTTGGCATTTTTTGGCGTGTTTGGAAGACAGTGTAAATGCCCCTACTCATTCATCAATACTTACCCTTTGCCTGACCACACCATCAGCACCTGTCCAATCGTTATCAGGGTTTCCATCAAACGTTCCACAGAGACCACACGTTCTATTCCAGAAAGAGCTCTCAAGGTAGATGTCTGCTGCTCGTTGCCCGTTGTGCTTGACCATCAGGCCAAATGAGGTTTGTAGAATCTGAAATTTGAAAGGTTTTTCTTTATAATGGAGGTGCTATAAATGGCAATAAGTAATGTCTGTCATCTAGCATGATTTATCATCTTCAATCTGATAATCATTTTTTTAGGGGCGTTCTTTAATAATAAGCCAAGCTAAAGTCAGTAGATTATGCATGTCATAGATTCAGCACAAACCTTTGTTTACTTTCAGTTCCCATGAGGCAAAGTGTTATTGAAAAATTCAATTCCAAGCAAAACTATGTAACTTTTTTTCACCATTTACTTATTTTTACTGAGTAAGTAAAAAGAAATAATAAAAATGATGTTTTTATTTACTCAATATTTTTCATAGGATTTATTGTAAAACAAAATAATACAGTAGGTGATTGTAATTTTGAAAACTGAAAAGCTATATGCATTGAATTTGCTGATGAACAGCGACCTTTTCCAATAACTCACCACGTTCCCAGGTCTTCCCGTGGACCAAATCTCAATGTCCCTACTTGGAGAGATGAACGGCAGGCTGACCCTAACATCATCCACTTTCACTCTCTGAGACTTCATCAGGGCATACCTATGCCCATCATAGTCCAGGACCAGTTTGTCAAGGTTGGAGACCTCTGACGAAGGACGTCTGCGGCGGTTGTCGGCCCAGAGGTGGAAGTCTGTCTGGTTCAGGCAATCTCGCACCATGGTGTAATCACAGTCTCCCTGGAAGGAATACTTGCGACTGTCGAAGGTCAAGTAGTGAGGGTCACCCCAGATCTGACACACGCCTGGACCTGATTGTTTGGTGGAGAAAGGGACAAAAATGCCTCAATTAAACATCTCACTCCTAAAACAATTCTAGCATGAATAAACAATGTTAATGTACAAGTACGAATTAAAAAGCTCAAAACTGTAGCTTTTCCAAAGATAAATAGGAACTAAAGGCTCAACACTGTAGTCTTCAACTTCTTTTTCTAAAAAAAACTTAACATTCCTACCAAAAATGTCATTTGTCAGTGATTCAACCATAGGCATGATGTTTTCAATAATCTGAAAGCATTTGTTTAAAAATGTGCATTATGCCAGTAACCTTCAACACCTTGTAACTGCAATGATGTGTATCACATGTGTAATTAGAGATATAACTTAGAACAAGGTGCTTGGAACTTTTCCTAGTACATAAATCACAATGACATGTATAAACAACGATTGAAGTAAAACTAAAAAGGAAATTAGCATTGGCATATCCAAATGAAGGGAAACATTCAAAAAGACATGAATGGCTCTTGATACAATTTTCCTACGCATTTGAATACGTGTATGAAGTGTGTCCTATGACACCCTTGAGAGAAGAGCAACTCTAATTTTTGACAAAAAGTGAGAAAGGCTTACCTTCGATAATCAATATTTGATGCGTAACAATACACTTTAAGGCATATTTAAGCCTCACTATTAAAATTTAAGGATTCCCTTGTGTTTATTTATTTTTGATAAGGTATGGTCATACCATGAGATACATAACATACCTAAATCCATTATAATCACATTATACATTTGAGTGCCTTCATCTGAGTTGTCTCACTGCTACGAAAGTTTGCTGAAGTTTTTGTTGCAATGCAAAGTGGCAAAGAGTAATCAGATGAAGAAATCAACTTGTGACTGAAGGGTTTCAAATGAAATATTACAATTTTTATATTTTTGTTTGTTTACTTCGTGTGCAAGTATAGCCATCTCCACTCCAGCCATCAATGCAGTAGCACTTCTTGATGCCGTCCTTGATATCACAGTTAGCGAATTGATGACAGGTGTTCTCCATACAGATGATCTCTCCATCCATACAGGTACAGGTCTCTGAGCAGTTATCATTGGTCCAGGATTCACCAGGCTAAGAACATATAGGACAGAATTAGTGGGTGATTATTATCAACTCAAATCTGTCTTTATCAAATATTGGATTTTTCAATATTGTCTTCTGTTAGCCAGGAGGATGTTAACTCATATCCTTTAATTAAACAAGGTGAATTCCTTCTGAAAGAAACAACTACAAGACTGCTTTCAACAGCTACTCAAAATTGCATTTTAAAAAAATAATGAAAGAAAAGAATAATATGTACAATTGCATCATTGGCAATTAGCTGCTGCTCATGCTAAAAAGCAGAATCATCGATTGAGCATGTATCCCACCGCTGCCACCATTAATAAACAAAAATCCATGTATAAACGATTACAGATTTTGACACAAGACCATTCTAGTGGTCTATGATAGCAGAAATTTTCATTACCAGATTGCGATCAATGTCCCCTTTACATAAAATAAATTCTCAAACATGTTAGAAAGAGAGTTCGTACTAGCAAAGCCATGCATTTATAAAAAATACATCTCCTAAAATCGTACATTCTGTACAAAGATGCCCAGAACACTCACCGAGAGGTAGACATTGTTGTCCAGTGTGCATCCACACTCCTCAGGGTCAACACACTCTGTGCCATCCAAGACCATGGAGTCTGGACAGCGGCAGGTCTCTATGCAGGGAAGGGTGCAGTTGAAAGCACTGGAGAGGTCTGAGCAGGTCGTAGGGCATGCAGAGGTACAGGGGTCATAGACTGAGGCTCCAGGACATTCGTAGGCTACTCCACAAAAAGAAGTACATCCAGAAGATATCAATTCTCTATGGTATGCTTTGATCAATACATGTTAAATCAGACATTTCAGTCAGTTGGTACATGTATCTATGAACGTAAATAAAATATCTCTGAACCTAAAAATGATCATTGTTATACATTGTTATATACAACATACAACTTAAAAAACAGATCTTTGATCAAGTGAGAAAATATATTTTAGGACTAGGGAACTATTTTTGTTCCAGTGATCTTGAGGCAGCAGACGGCAAGACACTTTATGAATAATCACCTCGCTTGAGAAAGTCTACAGGAGTGAACGAAAGCTTGCCTACTTAATTTTAAGATTTGTAGAAGCTTAAACTACATTTTATGACTACCCTAACATTTGAGGACTTACCACACTGAGGAGTCTCTGACCTCCAGTCTTCAGGAGCGCCACCTGCCTGTCTACATGCAGAAGCGTACCCATTCAGGCTGTCACATAGATAGTCATCATCGGGAAATCTGGCGCAGAGGTCGTACTTGCATGCCGTTTGGTAGTCGGTGGGATCAACAAAGTCATGGCATGGTGAGAATGGACCTGTAAACATGGAGTTTTTATAAAACAAGGATTACATAATTATCCTTAGAGCAACATGCAAGGTCGGGATTAAAAGTGCTTTAAGGATTATTCAACATTTGCTGGAGCAACATTTGAGATAAGAGGGCAAGGGTTTACCTTGTGATTGGATTTTACGTAAGGTTTAGGGTAAGGTATAGTGATGTTTCATCCAGGTATTAAGTTACGAATTTGCTCACTGTGGGTTATTACTGCAGAGCGATTCATGGCGGCTCACATGTCATACAGTACACCTGGTTCTAAATTTAAACAGTAAAGTATTTTCGCTGATAAATGTTAGCAGAACGTATTCCACACATTTCTAAAAGTGTCAATATATCAATAACAATTGTTGTATTAGGTTCAACCATTACACACAAGAATGTACATTATGATCCTCATTCGGTTTCAGCCTAGGGGGCATTATAAAGTGCTCATGTCATCCACATACTTCTTCATACCAGGATCTTCTTTAGTTCAAGTTCAAGTTCAAGTTTTATTTCAATTCAAGTCCATAAAAAACATATAAGATACAGATTATATACAATATAGAAAACACAAAATACACACAAAATGGAAACATGTCTACAAATATATCGGAATTATAAAAAGTTAAACAGCAATAGAAATGAATTGGGGAAACTGCAAATAAAACCATAAGGTTCTGTCGAGGCAGCTCCCTGTTATTAAAAGATACATATACAACTTCCAACAATTGGCTATAAAAAGTATAACAATAACAAAACAGTGTACAAAACATAGGAGACGTATTAACATGCAAATATTATTATAGATTTAAAAACAGATGAAGTATTTTTTTAGTTTAGATTTAAAAGAGTTTAAGAAAGCAGTATCACGTATATCTTTGGGGAGGGAATTCCATATTTTCGGGCCAGTGTGTCTAAAAGTAAATAAGGAATTTGTTGATGGACATTTTTCAATAAAATAGTTATCAGGATTTCTAGTATTATAATTATGAACATATTTTTTACATTTCATCATAGTGGTAAGATTAATCGGCAGTTTATCAGTTTTATGTTTAAAAACCATGAGTGATATACAATATTGATTCAATTGAAAAATATTTAAAAACTGTAGTTGTTGAAATAATGGTATTGAATGGGCATTGAAATCAGACATAAGACATATTCTTACTATACGCTTTTGTAATATATGCAGTCGTTGTAATCTCGTTGGGTATGTGTTGCCCCATACAACATTACAATACATTAAATACGGTAAAACCATTGTATTATACAATAAAATCAAAATACTTTGTGGCAAGATATGACGTAATTTGCTGATGACACCAATATTTCTTGAAATTTTGTTTGAAATGGTAAGTATATGAGCATTCCAAGTTAAATTTTGGTCAATAATTACACCTAAAAAGCTAGTTGATTGCACTCGTTTTATCGGAACATCATTCATCTTTATATTTAATACATTCAATGAATCAGCTGAAATAATTGTTTGCTTATAATGAAAATATATAAAATTTGATTTAGATGTATTCAAAGACAATTTATTAATATTGAACCATTGCGATACATGCTGCAGCTCATTATTTAAAGTTTGACATAAAATATTAATATCTTTATGAGAATAGAGGATATTGGTGTCATCAGCAAAAAGGACAAATTTCAAAATGTTTGAACAATAATTTAAATCATTTATGTACAATAAAAATAAAAGAGGACCTAAAATTGAGCCCTGAGGGACTCCACACGTGACTTGCATTGGGTCAGATAAAACATTGTTATATACAACTATTTGGTGTCGATTATTCAAATAATTTTTCAACCATGTGTAAGCAACACCTCTTATTCCATAGTAATTCAATTTATCTAACAAAATATTGTGATCTATAGAGTCAAAGGCTTTGCTTAAATCTAAGAAAAGACCTACAGTGTGTAATTTATTACTTAAGGAAGATACTAAATAATCATGAACATCAATTAGAGCCATTTCAGTTGATACATTTTTCGTAAATCCATATTGGCAAGAATGTAATATTGTATTGTTTAATAAAAATGTATTCAAACGATTATATACAATTCGTTCTAAGATTTTTGAAAAAAAAGTTAAAACTGAGATTGGTCTGTAATTGCCTAAATTATGAACATCATCTTTTTTGTATATTGGGGTGACTCTCGCTATTTTCATATCAGATGGAATAATTCCTGTACTTAAAGACATATTAAAAATATGAATAAGAGGTTCTAAAATATAATCAATAACTTTCTTAATTACACATGGATTAAAATCATCTACTCCACAACTTTGAGTACTTTTTAATGATTGCACAATTGTAGTTATTTCATTTGCATTAACAGGTTTTAGAAATAAAGATGTAGCACATGGTTGAGGCAGAAAATCTCTATAATTTACAATATTATTTACAGGAATAGTATTGCATATATTCAATCCAATATTAATAAAAAAATCATTAAAAGAATTTGCAATATCATGTGGATCATGAATATTTTGTCCATTTACTATAAAATATGAAGGCAAAGTCTTCCTAGATTTACCAAATATTTCATTTATTACAGACCATGTTTGTTTAATATTACCTTTAGTTTTCTTAAATCTATTTGCATAATATGCCTTGCGTGCCATTTTTAATAATTTATTTACCTTGTTGCGAGCTTTATGATACTTAAGTTTATTATTAGAAGAAGAATTCTTACAATATATTCTATACAACTTGTTTTTATTTTTGATTACATTCAATAATTCTTCGCTTAACCAAGGTTTCTTGCACTTATTCTTATTTTTTCTAGTAGAATACGTTAAGTTTTTATCATAATATACCATAAATCTATGTTTAAACCGACCATATGCTACTTCTACATTACTGGGATACATAACCCCATTCCAATCCTCATTATTCAAATCCAACTTTAAACTATTTATAGTACGTTCATTGATTATACGTTTTTTAGGAATATTACACACATAATCTCTATAAATAATTTTCCCTGTTATTTGAAATATTGGAAGATGGTCAGATGCATCATTAAAAAATATTCCCGGGGTTATACATGAAAAAAAATTGTTTGTAAATATATTGTCTATAAGAGTTGCACTATTTACAGAAATACGTGTGGGTTTAACAATTAGTGGCAAGAGTGATGAGGAATGTAACATGTCTAAAAAATCAGCACTATATTTATTTGAACATTTTAAAAGATCAATATTAAAATCACCCATAATATAAATTAACTTATTTTCTTTATTAAGTTTTTGTAAACATACATAAACTGCGTTAATAAAGCTTTCTACTCTTGATTGCGGTTTCCTATAAATTATTCCAACAATTATATTTTTTCCAATCTTATTCGTAATCTCAATAAAAAGACATTCATTACCATCGCATTGCAATAAAATATCATTTCTAATTGTAAAATTCAAAGAGTCCAAGACAAGAAAAGCCACTCCTCCTCCTCTACCACTGATACGATCAATATGAATGAATGAATATCCTTCTAAATGAAATAAAATGGGAGTATTACTTTGAATCCATGTCTCCGTGAAACCATAAATAGAAAAAGAGTAACTTAATGAATGAATAAATTCACTTATAGCTAAAAAATTCTTGGATAAACTTCTTGCATTGAAATGTATAATACTAAAATCAGAATCTAATTTTGGTAAAGACATAAATTCATCTTCCAAATAATAATTACTTTCAACAATATCGTCCTGTAAAAAATCATCGTCATCATTGTCAAACGCTGGATCACATTCTAAAGAATGTTTAAATGTATTTTTAAATTTATTTATATCAATTTTATGTTCATGCAATGGTGTTGAAAAAATATTCTTAAATTCATCATCGCTCAAATCAGAAAATGGAAACACTGGGTTTAAGCATATGGGATACTGTGCGTCATGTGTATCATCCATGTAAAAGGAGAACATTAAATGTGACCATGACAATCCGTCTACATAAAGACAAACAACAAAACATAGGGGTACAATAAATACAGAACATAACAATTAATATACTGTAATAACAAAGTATGTAACAAGTATTTTTGTTAAATGAGGGGAAAAAAAAATTAAATGAAAAGTTCACTCACTTAGTTCAGAATGTGCCTACCCTAACCAGACTTTAAAACTTCCGTAGGTCGTCTTTGCACAAGATCAAGTGTTTTTTGTTGTTTTTGTCAGTCATTAGAATACGCCCATCTCGTGTCCATGCTGCTTTTACTTTCTCAGAGGTTCGTACATGTGCAAGCAGGTCTTGATTTGCTTTCGTCAGATCTTCCTGGATGGACTTCCGCTTACCGGCGAGCTTCCGTCGTTTGGAGATTACTTCCTGGCGCTTTCTATATGATGTAAACTTCGCGATGATTGGGCGTGGCAGGTTCTTTTCTTGATGTTTCTGCCTGGAGCCATTTCTATGTGTACGTTCCAGATCATCCTTGGAGAGATTGACCTGGAGAACTTCATTTGCCACTTGAAGAATGATGTCATCAGTATCTTCTTCACTGCGTTCCTCGAAGCCAAAGAACAGGAGACAATTTCGCCTGGAGTATTGTTCCTGTTGGTCGAGCTTGCGTTGTAGTGTTTTAATCTGCTCGTGTTGATTTTCAAGTTGGTTTTGGACGTTTACATGTACAAGAACTTCTTTGTGGAGACTCCTACAGATGAAATGCCTTGACATGGGTTCAAGCCTCTAAACCTCTCAATTGGAAGTCTAAAAAATGAACCACCATACTCTGGTTTCAAAATGACTCAAAATGTATTATTAACCAGAAGTTGGAATATCAGACACATTAATGGAAAAAACATAAAGTATAAAGAATCTTCAACATCATCATACCGTCTGGTTGTAAAAGAATGTAGCATAAATCTTCAGCTTGTTTCAGAGTCTCTCCACCCTCAGCGCAGGGGTCTTCAGGTTCTGGAATGATGTCACTACAGTCATCTCTATTCACCACCCAGCTATTGGCAAAGTCTGTCTTTTCTGCCCACTGAGGTGAGACAAAAAAATAGTATGAAATAGTGAAATCTCAATCTAATCAGAGCATGATAGCAATAAAAAAAGAACAATCCATATATATTTATATCAAATTTTTGCCAGTAGTTTTTACCTAAAAATAGGTAAAAAAGGAATCAAATCACAGGTTCACAATATACGATGGAAATTCTAACAATTAGGAAATTGAAAGTGGGGTTGAAAATATAATGATTAAAGAAAAATAAGCAGATTTACAATAATAAATCTACTATTCAGGAAATTGAAAGTGAGCTTGATAGTATAAAATTGCTACACAGTTTGAAATTAAGATTAATGCTCTTTTAAATTTCAAGTCTATATATACATAAAAATAAAATTATTGTCTACTATTAACAATTAAAGGGGTCAACTTATTTAAAAGGGATATGACTTTTCACTCATCACGAACTGGCAATATCTACAAACATTATAATTCATACATTACATGAGTTGCCCTACAAAAACAAACTAATTGACTACTCAATCATTCATCAATGCTTACCGTTTGCCTGACCACACCATCAGCACCTGTCCAATCGTTATCAGGGTTTCCATCAAACGTTCCACAGAGACCACACGTTCTATTCCAGAAAGAACTCTCAAGGTAGATGTCTGCTGCTCGTTGCCCATTGTGTTTGACCATCAGGCCAAATGAGGTTTGTAGAATCTGAAATTCGACAGGTTTTTTTTTATAATGGAGGTGCCATAAATGGCAATAAGTAATGTCTGTCATCGTGCATGATTTATCATCTTCAATCTGATATTCATTTTTTTAGGGGCGTTCTTTAATAATAAGCCAAGCTAAAGTCAGTAGATTATGCATGTTATAGATTCAGCATAAACCTTTGTTTACTTTCAGTTCCCATGAGGCAAAGTGTTATTGAAAAATTCAATTCCAAGCAAAACTATGTAACTTTTTTTCACCATTAACTTATTTTTACTGAGTAAGAAAAAAGAAGTAATGAAAATGATGTTTTTATTTGCTCAATATTTTTCATAGGATTTATTGTAAAAAAAAAATAATACAGTAGCTGATTGTAATTTTAAAAACTGAAAAGCCATTTGCATTGAATTTGCTAATGAACAGCGACCTTTTCCAATAACTCACCACGTTCCCAGGTCTTCCCGTGGACCAAATCTCAATATCCCTACTTGGAGAGATGAACGGCAGGCTGACCCTAACATCATCCACTTTCACTCTCTGAGACTTCATCAGGGCATACCTATGCCCATCATAGTCCAGGACCAGTTTGTCAAGGTTGGAGACCTCTGACGAAGGACGTCTGCGGCGGTTGTCAGCCCAGAGGTGGAAGTCTGTCTGGTTCAGGCAATCTCGCACCATGGTGTAATCACAGTCTCCCTGGAAGGAATACTTGCGGCTGTCGAAGGTCAAGTAGTGAGGGTCACCCCAGATCTGACACACGCCTTGACCTGATTGTTGTGTAGAGAAAAGGAAAAAAATGCCTCAATTAAACATCTCAATCCTAAAACAATTCTAACATGAATTCACAATGTTAATGTAAAAGTACAAGTTAAAGGCTCAAAACTGTAGCTTTCCCAAAGACAAATAGGAATTAAAGGCTCAACACTGTAGTCCTCAACTTATTTTTCTAAAAAGAAATTTACATTCCTACCAAAAATGTCATTTGTCAGTGATTCAACCATAGGCATGATGTTTTCAATAATCTGAAAGCATTTGTTTAAAAATGTGCATTATGCCAGTATCCTTCAACACCTTGTAACTGTAATGATGTATATTACATGTGTAATTAGAGATATAACTTAGAACAAGGTGCTTGGAACTTTTCCCAGTACATAAATCACAATGACATGTATACAAACAACGATTGAAGTAAAACTAAAAAGGAAATTAGCATTGGCATATCCAAATGAAGGGAAACATTCAAAAAGACATGAATGGGTCTTGATACAATTTTCCTACACATTTGAATACGTGTATGAAGTGTGTCCTATGACACCCTTGAGAGAAGAGCAACTCTAAATTTTGACAAAAAGTGAGAAAGGCTTACCTTCGATAATCAATATTTGATATGTAACAATACACTTTAAGGCATATTTAAGCCTCACTATCAAAACTTAAGGATTCTCTTGTGTTTATTTATTCTTGATAAGGTATGGTCATACCATGAGATACATAACATACCTAAATCCATTATAATCACATTATACATTTGAGTGCCTTCATCTGAGTTGTCTCACTGCTACGAAAGTTTGCTGAAGTTTTTGTTGCAATGCAAGGTGGCAAAGAGCAATCAGATGAAGAAATCAACTTGTGACTGCAGGGTTTCAAATGAAATATTTTGAAAAAATTTTGTTTACTTCGTGTGCAAGTATAGCCATCTCCACTCCAGCCGTCAAAGCAGTAGCACTTCTTGATGCCGTCCTTGATATCACAGTTAGCGAATTGATGACAGGTGTTCTCCGTACAGATGATCTCTCCGGCCATACAGGTACAGGTCTCTGAGCAGTTATCATTGGTCCAGGATTCACCAGGCTAAGAACATATAGGACAGCATTAGTGGGTGATTATCTCAAATCTGTCTTTATCAAATAATGGATATTTCAATATTGTCTTCTGTTAAATAGCCAGAAAGGTGTTAACTCATATCCTTTAATTAAACAAGGTAATTTCCTTCTGAAAGAAACAACTACAAGACTGCTTTCAACAGCTACTCCAAATTGCATTTTAAAAAGATAATGAAAGAAAAGAATAATATTGTACAATGGCATCGTTGGCAATTAGCTGTTGCTCATGCTAAAAAGCAGAATCATCGATTGAGCATGTATCCCACCGCTGCCACCATTAATAAACAAAAATCCATGTATAAACGATTACAGATTTTGACAAAAGACCATTCTAGTGGTCTATGATAGCAGAAATTTTAATTACCAGATTGCTATCAATGCTCCCTTTACATATAGGCTAAATGCTCAAACATGTTAGAAAGAGAGTTTATAATAGCAAAGCCACTTGGATTCATAAAAAATACTTTCATCAAATTGTAAATTCTGTACAAAGATGCCCAGAACACTCACCGAGAGGTAGACATTGTTGTCCAGTGTGCATCCACACTCCTCAGGGTCAACACACTCTGTGCCATCCAAGACCATGGAGTCTGGACAGCGGCAGGTCTCTATGCAGGGAAGGGTGCAGTTGAAAGCACTGGAGAGGTCTGAGCAGGTCGTAGGGCATGCAGAGGCACAGGGGTCATAGACTGAGGCTCCAGGACATTCGTAGGCTGCTCCACAAAAAGAAGTACATCCAGAAGATATCAATTCTCTATGGTATGCTTTTATCAATATATATGCTGAATCAGACATTTCAGTCAGTTGGTACATGTATCTATGAACGTAAATATAATATATCTGAACCTAAAAAAGATCATTGTTATACATTGATAAATACAACATACAACTTAAAAAACAGATCATTGATCAAGTGAGAAAATATATTGGAGGACTAGGGAACTATCTCTGTTCCAGTGATCTTGAGGCAGCAGACAGCCAGAAACTTCATGAATAATCACCTCGCTTGAGAAAGTCTACAGGAGTGAATGAAAGCTTGCCTACTTAATTTTAAGATTTGTAGAAGCTTAAACTACATTTCATGACTACCCCAACATTTGAGGACTTACCACATGGAGTAGTCTCTGACCTCCAGTCTTCAGGAGCGCCACCTGCCTGTCTGCATGCAGAGGCGTACCCATTCAGGCTGTCACATAGATAGTCATCATCGGGAAATCTGGCGCAGAGGTCATACTTGCACGCCGTGTGGTAGTCAGCGGGATCAACAAAGTCATGGCATGGTGAGAATGGACCTGTTAACATGGAGTTTTTATAAAACAAGGATTACATAATTATCCTTAGAGCAACATGCAAGGTCAGGATTAAAGGTGCTTTGAGGATTATTCAACATTTGCTGGAGCAACATTTGAGATAAGAGGGCAAGGGTTTACCTTGTGATTGGTTTGACGTAAGGTTTAGGATAAGGTATAGTGACGTTTCATTCAGGTAATGTTAGGAATTTGCTCATTGTGGGTTATTACTGCAAAGCGATTTATGGCGGCTCATATGTTATACAGTACACCTGCTTCTAAATTTAAACAGTAATGTATTTTCACTGATAAATATATATATATATATCAATAATAACTGTTGTATTAGGTTCAACCATTACACACAAGAATGTTCATTATGATCCTCATTCGGTTTCAGCCTAGGGGGCATTATAAAGTGCTCATGTCATCCACATACTTCATCATACCAGGATCTTCTTTACATGTACAAGAACTTCTTTGTGGAGACTCCTGCAGATGAAATGCCTTGACATGGGTTCAAGTCTCTAAACCCTTCAATTGGAAGTCTTAAAATTGAACCACCATACTCTGGTTTCAAACTGACTCAAAATGTATTATCAACCAGAAGTTGGAATATCAGACACATTAAATGGTAAAAACATAAAGAATGAAAGACTATCAACATCATTCATACCGTCTGGTTGTAAAAGAACATAGCATAATTCTTCAGCTTGTTTCAGAGTCTCTCCACCCTCAGCGCAGGGGTCTTCAGGTTCTGGAATGATGTCACTACATTCATCTCTATTCACCACCCAGCTATTGGCAAAGTCCGTCTTTTCTCCCTTGTGAGGTGAGACAAAAAAAGGAGAAAATAGTGAAAGCTCAGTCTAATCAGAGCATGATAGAAATCAAAAGAACCTTCACTTTACATTTATATTAAATTTTTGTTAGCAGTTCTGACCTCAAATAGGTATAGATGGAATTAAATCACAGGTTAATACTTTATACAATGGAAAAATATACTAAAGTGATGTTGGCGTTATACTGATTGAAGCAGATGTACAATACAACATAATTTCAAAGTAAGATTATTGTTGAGGTCAAATTTCAAATGCTCCTTTGATTTTAAAGTCTACATGAATGTACATCAATGTAAAATCATCATCTACTAGGAAGAAAAAAAGGGGGTCAATTAACCTAGTGAATATGGATGTTACTTTAGGCTCTTTTCAAACTGGCAATATCTTCATACATTATAATTTACACCTTACAACAAACTAATTGACTACGCAATCATTCATCAATGCTTACCCTTTGCCTGACCACACCATCAGCACCTGTCCAATCGTTATCAGGGTTTCCATCAAACGTTCCACAGAGACCACATGTTCTATTCCAGAAAGACCTCTCAAGGTAGATGTCTGCTGCTCGTTGCCCATTGTGCTTCACCATGAGACCAAATGAGGTTTGTAGAATCTGAAATTTGACAGGTTTTTAAAAAATATTTTGTTCAATAATTTATCCTAGGAAAAATATTGAGTAAATAAACACATTTTTTCAATATTTCTTTTAACTTACTCAATAAAAATAAGTTAATGGTGAAAAAAAAATTAAATAATTGTGCTTGGAATTAAATAGTTCAGTACATATCGTCTCATGTGAACTGAAAGTATACAAAGGTTTGTGCTGAATCTATTACATGCATAATCTACTGGCTTTAGCTTGGCCGATTATTACAAAACGCCTCCCAAAAGATAAATATTAGATTGAAGATGATAAATCATGCACGATGACAGACATTACTTATTGCAGTTAGCACCATCAACTATAGTAGGCAGTTGTAATTTTGAAAACTGAAAAGCTATATGCATTGAATTTGCTAATGAAGAGCAACCTTTTCCAATAACTCACCACGTTCCCAGGTCTTCCTGTGGACCAAATCTCAATATCCCTACTTGGAGAGATGAACGGCAGGCTGACCCTAACATCATCCACTTTCACTCTCTGAGACTTCATCAGGGCATACCTATGCCCATCATAGTCCAGGACCAGTTTGTCAAGGTTGGAGACCTCTGACGAAGGACGTCTGCGGCGATTGTCGGCCCAGAGGTGGAAGTCTGTCTGGTTCAGGCAATCTCGCACCATGGTGTAATCACAGTCTCCCTGGAAGGAATACTTGCGGCTGTCGAAGGTCAAGTAGTGAGGGTCACCCCAGATCTGACACACGCCTGGACCTGGTCGTTGTGTAGAGAAAGGGGGGAAAATATCTCAATTAAACATCTCACTCCTAAAAAATTACTAACATGAATTCACAATGTTAATGTACGAATTAAAGGCTCAAATCTGTAGCTTTCCCAAGGACAAAGAGAAACTAAAGGCTCAAAACTGTAGTCCTCAACTTCTTTTTCTTAAAAAAATGTACATTCCTACCAAAATGTATTTGTGATTCAACCATGGGGCATGAACTTTTCAATACTCCGGAAGCATTTTGTTTATACATGTCCATTATGCCAGTAACCTTCAACACCTTGTAACTACAATGATGTGTACCACATGTGTAATTGCAGATGTAACTGAGGACATGGCGCTTGGAACTTTGTGTATGGAGTGTGTCCTATGACAATGAGTGGTTAAGGCTTACCATCGATACATCTACCATCATAGAGAACAAATCCCTCTTGGCAGTAGCACTCAGGTACACCATTCTTGACGTTACACTCGGCGTTCTGGCCGCAGGTGGTGGATTCACACTGAAGTTCACCTGCACCTAAGCAGGAGCACCGCTCGGAGCAGTCAGGGTTTTTCCAGGTCTCACCAACCTAAAGAAAAGATTATAAGGATAAAGGGTTCACACTTTCAAACCGCAGAGCATTGTACAGGGTACCTCATTACACTGTTCAACATTCAGTCTTTAAACTTTTGATACAAGTGAACTCCTTTCTTATCAAAATCTTTTCTACAAGACATCTTTGATGATGTCAAGAAGAGACTGATAAAACTTTGCAAATGTGGATGTCGCATTTCGAGACAAATTTTATTGAAAATTTGATTAAGTACTGAATATTACAGAGAAATCTAATGTTGAAAGTTAAACAGTATAAAATCAGCCCCACAATCATATCACACCCATAACATTAGCAACCCTCTCATTCTTTTAAGTCTGCTGTTGATTGTTTGTACTCTGCGATGGTGATGATGATGATATGATTGCATTGAAATTACATATTCAACTTCAGGCCAAACATGAAGATATTTCTTGCATCCTTTGTACTAGCTTCCTGAAAAGTCTAAGGAAGCGAACTGAATGATGATACTTACTGGTAGGTACAACCCATTATCAAGGGTGCAGCCACAGCGTGATGGGTCAACACACTCTTCGCCGATGAGAACAAGTCCCTCCATACACCTGCAGGTCTCCTGACAGGTTACATTGCAGGGTACTGGTGAAGACGCTGAGGAACAGGTTGCTGGACAGCCATCAAAGCAGGGGTCGTACACTGTCCTATCTGGACATTCAAATGCTGAAATGATAAAAATGATTCAAGTCACATGTTAAAGTATGTCTGTAAAAGCATATGGAAAAGGTATTTTCTTTTGATACATGAATGACAAGTAGCTGCTACATGGAGAGATGAAGTTTGAAGAGCATGAAAGAGCGTCATCTAACACGAGATGGAGTTCCTTGATGCCCTCTGAAATCTTTGTAGGCACACAGTCTTAGTGACCTTAACTGCAATTTACCCTGTCTTACGAATTTCATTAGTAAAGATTGAGAAAGTCTTTTGGAAAAGTATCATAGCGTGTAAAGTGTTTCATTGCAAGAAACAAAGCAAATATATAATGAAGGGAGCAACTTACGACACTGAGGTGTTTCTGATCTCCAATCATCAGGTTGTCCACCGGCCTGTCTACAAGCCTCTGCATACTGAGTCAGACTGTCACACAGGTATTCATCTCCCAATGCACAGATATCATACTTGCAGGAATCATAGAATGGATCAGGGCTCAAGTAATCGTGGCACGGAGCAAAAGGTCCTGAAAATGAAAACCCACAGAAAATATAACATTTGAATATTACACAATATTTTGTTTTCCCTCTGAAGTAAAAAAAAAAAAAAAAAAAGAACTACATGACTTGAACAATTCCTAACAATTTCCCTTGGACTCATACATGTATATTTTTTCTGTCCAAGATTAAAACCATTATGCTGAGCTACAAGTTATTCCTTTGTAAATTAAGGAAATCATCTTTTTAGACCATGTGATTCAAACAGTAAAATCAAAATTGCATGTACTACGCCACTTCTATTCCTCCTCCTGTACATAGTTGATCTGACAATAATTTACCCTTTTTGTTAGGTTTGGCAAGACACATGTATGAATTAAAGAATCTTTGCATAGGTTACTATTTAGTCAAATGTATCAAATTACTAGCAATTTTTTTTCTTCACATGAATGTCCAATGACTTTTGAACACACATGAGTAAAGAGCATGAGACAAGGGCAACTTACCATCATCATTGAGAAGAATGTTGCACAGGCTTTCGGCTTCTTCTGTTGTAATGGAATTCTCAACACAAGGATTGGGTGGCTCTGGTCTGACGTCATCACACTCATCTACGTTCACAACCCAACTATCACCAAAATCTTTAGGGTTACTGGCCTGTGATGACACAAAGATAATACAAAGCAAAGTTGTTTATATTTTGGAAAAGCAAACTAAATGTTAACTTTCGGAGAGAAAAAAAAGTGAAATATTAAGCACATGTAATCTCTTCTTTAGAACTCTGATTATGTCTTATTGTAAACCTGATAAAGTCTTCAGTCTCTATCTACATAATCACAAGTTAAACATGTACATAAACATCTGACAAAAAGACATTTATATGAACATGTGATACAAAAATTGGGTATTACGAGAAGTACACCCATATGAAGCATCAATCTTCATTTGGACAAAGAGTACTTTGGACATAATAGATTCAGGTTCTTGTAGAGGTATTATAAAGGTTCCTATGGATGTAGTATTCTTAAAACTTTCTTTCATACCAGTTCTCCGCTTTGGAGCTGCCAATCATTAGATTTATCTCCATCAAAGGTTCCACAAAGACCACAGGTTTGGTTCCAGTAAGAGTAGCTCAAGAAGATATCTGCACTGCGCCGACCATCGTATGATATCCACATGAAGGGCGTCAGCATTTTCTACAGGTGTAAAAAAATAAGATAAGGCTAAATCATATCACAATTAAGGTGAAATCAACTTTGCTGACATGCAAGTAATGATAGTAAATGGAAGCTCACAACTGGAATGGATTTACAACATTACCTTAAAATAAATCAAATCAAATCAAATCAAATCTGTTTAACTTAAACCCATGTCCGCAATTAAATTCATGAACAGGTATTTGATGATCTTCAAATACAGATGAGTTTGATTTCTTTGCTTCATTGCTATATTTGACATAAAATATGTTTTGTTAGACTAAATTTCACAACACAGCTATCGCTTTCTTTTTTAAGAAGAAGAATAAAGAGGTCTAGGTTGAAACATACTCTCCAACATATCAATACTTGGGAACGATCTGTAACCTATAGCAAAAAGGGTCTAAGTTCTTTCTTTTTTGTTTTGCTTGGGAAACAGAGGTACAGGTCTTTTGGATGCTACAAAAGATACAATTGCAACACTTTTTTCTAAAAAGTGGACAGTCTTACCAACGAATTGAAGGCCCTAAAGATGATGATGTTTTCACCGAAGAAAGGAAGGTTATCAGTCACATCAATGCTGTTGACTCGTACTCTGAAATCCCAGATCAAGGAGTAGATGTTTCCAGAATCTTCTAAGACCAGCTCCCTGATGTAAGATACTTCATCTGAAGGATTACGTTTCTCATTGTCAGCCCAGAGATGGAAGCCACTGGAGTTCTGACAATCTCTCACCAATGTGTAGTCACAATCTCCTTGGAAGTTGTACTTCCTCTGGTCAAAGGTCATATAGTGAGGGTCACCCCACACTTGACACAAGCCAGGAGCTGATAAAAATAAACAAGACATCAAATGATATATTTTGTAAAGAAATAAGATAATTATAACAAGGATGTCAAGAACAAAGTCAAAGATTGACAAATTGATGACAAATTTCAAACAAATTGTTAATGTTGAAATTTTGGAAACTGTCACTGCATCAAAGGAGTTAACAGCAAGTGATTTCTTCTGCAAAATACAATCTACAATGCTTGTAATATAATGGAAAATCTCTCAATGTACCTTGAACACAGAAGCCATGCACCAAGTAGTATCCTTCTTGACAGTAGCACTCTGGTATTCCATTCTTGACCTGGCATTCTTCATTCCTTCCACAGACATAGGACCGGCATTCTGCTATCCCTCCTGAACATTGGCACTGTTGAGAGCAGTCAGGACTGGTCCAAGTTCCCTCAGGCTGTAAATAATTAAATGTGTTTCAATTTAAAAGAAAATGACAATTCTACATATCAAAACATCTCTCTATGACTTAAGATGCTAAACCCATTATAACAAAAGTTTTCAAATATGTACGACAGATGATTTGTTTTGTTAGGGGATTAGGCAGCAATTCATGAACCAGTTTGAAATTCCAGAAAACTGCACATTGTTTTCATAGTTCAAACTAAGATACAAAATTTAACATATATATGTTGCTTTGAGACCTCAAAGGTTGAAGTTTATCTTGAGAAACCATCCTCTAATTCAACAGACAAAACGCTAAGACAAAAGTGGCTAAAAGGAATCATCACAAACATCATATCAACAGATGATGACTCTCCTGTGTAATTTATCCATATACTTACTGGAATGTAGACATCGTTATCAAGGGTACATCCACATTGCGAAGGATCCACACACTGATCTCCATCTCTCACTAAACCATCAGCACAGCGGCAGGTCTCTTGACAAGTCATGTTACAAGGTATGGAACTAATGGCTGTCGAACATGTCTCTGGACAACCGCTCGCACAAGGGTCATAGACAGTATTTGCAGGACAATCAAAGGCTACAAATAAAATTAAATAAATACATGACACATTGAAAAAGAACTGAACTGATGGGTTGTAGACACTATCCACAGCACAATAAAAGGCTACAAAACGAATACATAGATATTTGTCATGTAATAGATACAGAACTCAAAGTTGATTAACATTTCTCTAGAGAACCATTGGCCCCATGGTGAAAATTTGTGTTCATCAAATGAGAAGTTTACGGCTCACAAATATCAATTCATGCCCAATCACAAGATTGTTGACACAAGTGGAGAGCTATCAACGAAGCCTTATAGGTGGCAAAAAGTAAAGACTAAACATTCAAGATGTGACTAATGAAGAACTAAAACTTACGACATTGAGGTGTCTCTGATCTCCAATCATCAGGTTGTCCACCAGCTTGTCTACAAGCCTCTGCATACTGAGTCAGACTGTCACACAGGTATTCATCTCCCAAAGCACAGATATCATACTTGCAGGAATCATAGAATGGATCAGGATCTCGGAAGTCATGGCATGGAGCAAATGGCCCTGAATTGTAAAGGAGGGAACAAGAACATTTTTGCATTTACTAATAGTGCTCTCAGTGCTGAACAACGTATGTATATTGTATGAGCATAGCTAGTTCTTCACATCACACGTTTATACATGCAAGTCTTCAGGCATACGCCAGGATACAGAAATTGAGATTTCAACCCTTCAGAACTATAAACCTTGTGATTCAGAATATGTTAGGGTGAAATACAAGAACAGCCATTTATTTACCTAGGGAAGCCTCATCAATATTAATACCCTCTTCCTGAAGACCCTACTATTAATATTACCCTAGCATTGCCAGGTACATGAGGGACAAATTGGTAAAACACCTTGTCCAAGAATGTAAATACTGAGCAAAAATTGAACCAAGGACCTCTTGTATGAGAGTCAAGAGCCTTTACCAACATACTGACGTGCTCACAGGGAGCTCTTGCTCTAGCAGACTACAAGTACATGTATACATTTATTTCAAGAACTCCTTGTAATAGAAATAGCTAATTAAATGTATGCAAAATTAAAACTGACATACCATCTTTGTTCAAAAGTATTGAACACAGTTCTGCAGCTTTCCTAGAGACTTCTGAGTCTACTTCACAAGGATCTGTTGGCTCTGGTCTGACATCATCACATTCGTCTACTGTCACAACATAGCCGTTACCAAAATCTACTGGTGACTCAGCCTGTAATGATGGACATTTGCCACATTGAATTAATATACAGAGACAAAATATTGGGCACGGAAGCCCTGGTATATTTGTGCCATTAGAAAAACAACGGACAGTCTCCTGAACTTTCAAACGCTATGAAATTACATGTGAGTTTTTTAGCCCTCATGTATATCATCGGAAAATACTCAAAAAGTTTTTTGCGGCAATGTTCCCTTAAAATTCAGGTTCAGCCTCCTAATGTTGAATTAATCTGAGTCCACTTTAATAAATTATACTTGTAAAAGTGCATCAAAAGTTTTGGAACCAACTATCTACCATAGTGAAAACAACTCCATCTGTTGACCAGCTCAAGAAACTTCTGAAGTCCCATTTAATGGATTGAATAAGCTGAACTGGTGTCTTTGGAAGTGACATAGTATTTATTATTAGGTGATACGTACGTAGACGTATCACCTTTTGATTTCGTCAAGATTTTTCTTTATTTATTTATTATTATTTATTTTTATTATTATTCTTCCTCGAATTTGTTCGCAAGATATCTCAAGAATGAATAAAGCTATTATCATGAAACTTGTAGTGATGATAGATATTAGTCTAACTTAGAACTGCGTGACTTTTCAGAGACTCAAGATCATCGTGACGTCATCCAGGCGCCATTTTGTGAAAATCAACTTATGATCATATCTTCATAACGGAATGTAATTTTTCATTCATATTTACCATGATTAAGATCAATATCCTTCCGGTCAATTTCAGGTCAAAAAATGCGCGCAAAAATGCGTGTACGCTTTTGTCCGCGCGTTTACGCGCGTGAAATTTTTTTAAATGCTCCAAATCATCCCAAATTTTTTTTACATACGTTTCAGGCCATATGGAGCATTTGATAAAAAAATTACGCACACGCGCATGCGCGCGCGTTTTCGCGCGTACTGGCATTTTGCAACATAGAATCGCCGATTTTTTTCTGTCATCATATTTGGTACATTTTTCCAAGCATTTTGATAACTTGTTCACCTTTTAATAACGCAATGAGCGTCCGTCAAAGTTGACAGCACGCGCGGATTTGCGTTATCTTTATCCACAATACATGGGCAAAAACATGCCTATATAAAATTCATTGTAACTCTTTAGAATAGATAGAAACTCCTAATATTTTTTCATATTTGGATAGATTATGAGTTGGAAATATGATTTCATGTCTCATTTGATCCTCAATTAACTCATGACGTCATCATAATGGCCTCCAAACTCAAAATTTCAATTTGCATATTATGACGTAATTATATTCATGGAAAATTTAGTGTAGCGAAATCTCCGTTGTTTTAGCTTAGTTTTCGCTGAGCTTCGAATATGTTGTAGCTGAGACCATAAGCTATCACAATTTTGCTTTTTATTCTTCGATCAGATGCCGGGATTATGCTCATATTGCACTTCCAAAGTAGGATTTGAGCATTCGATTTCCCGTTTACGTGTAATTTCTATGGGAAATGTTTTGGTATATCGGTAACGCACTTGACTTCCAGCCTCGAGATCCCTGGTTCGAGTCCGGGTGTCTCCAAAAAAAAAATTTCTTCACTTTTTTTTTCTTTTTGTCATTTCACTGTACCATCTCCTTTGATTATTAAGACATGTAGATTCGCAAATAATGTATAAAACAACCCTATTTACTTTATTAATACCCTATTTTCACTTAATCTATTACTTTTTGCGTGCAATCCCTATTCGAGATGACTTTTTCTCAAATCTGGATTCTACATTCTTGTCTTTTGAGCAATATCGCCGGTATTTCTGCTTGGATTTTGTTGATTTTTTAGTATGTTGAGACAAGTTTCCACAAGATTTATGTAGACTATCTAACATTATCATGACGTTATCATAGTCAAAAATTCAATCATAGGTAACATGTCAATTATCATATATAACAATCCTCAATCGAATACCTGAAGAGGGCGCTATACCACTTTTAATCATGGTCATCTGGATGGCATTGTTCTCAATTGCATTTCTCTCTTGCTCTTTTTTCTTTCTCCTCTCATGTTCTGCCCCTCTCCTTTTTTGGTCTGTCTCTGCATCTATCTATCTATCCATTTTTCGATCAGATTCCGGGATCATGCTCATATTTCACTTGCAAAGTAAGATTTCAGAATTCCATTTCCCGTTTACATGTAATCGCTAAGGGAGATGTTTTGGTATATCGGTATACGCACTTGACTTCCATCCTCGAGATCCATGGTTCGAGTCCGGGTGTCTCCAAAAATATTTGTCTTCATTTTTTTTTTGACCTTTCACTGTACTATCTCCTTTGAGTATTAAAACACGTAGAATCGCAAATAATGTAATAAATAACCCTATTTTCTTTATTATTACCCTATTTTCACTTAATCCATTATCATATATAACAATCCTCAATCGGAAACCTGAAGGGGGCGCTATACCACTTTCAATCATGGTCATCTGGAAGGCATTGTTCTTAATTGCATCTCTCTCTCTCTCCTCTCTCTTGCTCTTTTACTTCTCCTCTCATGTTCTGCCCCTCTCCTTTTTTGGTCTGTCTCTGCATCTATCTATCTCTCTTCTCTTTCACCCTCTCCCTCTCTCTCTCTCTCTCTCTTGCCTTGCGTCCCTCTTATTCTCTTGGTCTGTTTCCCTCTGCCCTACAGTTGAAACTTGACTCATGGATGGACCATAATGGGAGTAGTAAACGAAATATGAAATCGTAAAAATGCGTTCTTTATTATGTTACACATGAGCATACGTATCACCTAATTCGTCAAAGTGACGAATTAAAGTCTAGTATTTATTTTGTGTCTGTATAGAAGAAATTATTATTATTCTTCCTCAATTTTGTTCGCAGGATATCTCAAGAATGGCAAAAGCCATTGTCATGAAACTTTCAAAAATGATAGATCTTAGTCTAACTTAGAACTGTATGACTTTTCAAAGACTCAACATTATCGTGACGTCATCCAGGCGCCATTTTGTGAAAATCAACATATGATATCTTCATAACGGAAACTAATTTTTCATTCATATTTATCATGAATAAGATCAATATCCTTCCGGTCAATTTCAGATAAAAAAATGTGCGCAAATCCGCACGTACGCGTTCGTGTGCGCGTTTACGTGCGCGCAAAAATTAAAAATGCTCCAAATCATCCCTAATTTTTTTGGCATACGTTTCAAGCCATATGGAGCATTTGACCAAAAATCACTCAAACGAGCATGCGCGCGCGTTTTTTGCGCGTTCTGGCATTTTGCAACATATGATCGCCAAATTTTCTCTGTCATCATGTTGAGCACATTTTTCCAAGCATTTTGATACCATATTCATCTCTTTATCACTAATAATAACGGAATGAGCGTCCGTTCAAGACAATATCCGTGCGCGCGAGCTCATGTATTACATAGTATATATGGGCAAAAAACATGCCTATAAAAAGTCCATTGGGATGAATAAGGACTGCCAAGTTTTTTTCATATTTTGATAGTGTATGAGTCGGAGATATGATTTCATAGCTCATTTGGCCATTAAATACATCTTGACGTCATCATAATGGCCTTGGAAGTCAAAATACAAAATTGCATATTATGACGTCATTATATTTATGGAAAATTTAGTGTATTTCTCATAATATTGACTGATTTTCTTTCAAATTGCGGTATCTTGTAGTTGAGGCAATTGCCTTCAAGATAAAGACACACTACTTTTTATTTCATTGACGTCATCATAGTACAAAATTCAATTAAAGGCCACATTTCAGAATTTTCTTAATTTGAGTGTTATGCATAAGGAAGGTGAATTTCGTTCAAATCATAAATCTTCATGACATTGATCTTTGATCACTATCTAGCTTATTTGTATTCTATGTTCTTCCAAATTTTGATACGGTGTAGCTAATAAATGATCTACAATATTGACATACATCATTTATCATTTAGATGACATCAAAATAGTGAAAATTTCAATTAAAGGTGACATGTCAGAATTTTCTTAGTTCGCGTGTTAGGCGACTTTTTCTGAAATCCTGATTCTACAAATCTCTATCGAATACCTGAAGGGGGCGCTACACCACTTTTAATCATGGTCTTTATCATATTTATGATCATTATCATTAGATCATCATCGGCACACTCTCATGATAACAAAATAGCACGTATCACCTAATTCGTCAAAGTGACGAATTAAAGTCTAGTTATTATTGTTTTTGTGCATGTGGTTGAATTCAATTCTTCTCTAGGAATAAAGTATTGTTTCTCTATCAGACATCCCAATCCCAAATTTGAGATTTTGATATCACACTCACTAATTCTCCACTTGGCAGTCTCCAGTCATTAGATTTTTCTCCATCAAAGGTTCCACAAAGACCACAAGTCTGATTCCAGTAAGAGTAGCTCAAGAAGATATCTGCACTGCGCCGACCATCGTATGATATCCACATGTAGCGTGTCAGCAATTTCTGTATTGATCAAGAACATGACGTACATCTCATGAAGATATAATAACAAGTACAAATGCAAAACAACATTTAGCAGAATATACTATCATGTACACTGACTAGCAGCAAGAAAATAAATGGTGATAAGAATCAAGCTACATGTTATGTAATGTTTTGAGTCTTACTGTTGTGTGAGTACAAATACAATATACATATACTGGGCCAACTAGCTCAAATTTAACATATGTTGCTCTTCCATGTGCCATATAAGACGATCAGCACAGAGAAATTATGAAAATATAAGATTTCACAACAACATTTCATCGTTTATCATTGAGGTGAAATGAAAAACCACACTTACATCTACCTAAGATATGAAAGTACTGTTTATAAAAGTCTAAATTATTTTGGACATTTTTCTAAAGCTCTTCTTCTGGAGAAGAAAAAATAAATTGCATAGGGATCTTCATTAAGGGCATATTGTAGACGTGTCGTGGTCTACTAGATAGTGTCCGTACTACGGAGATTAAAGTACTGGGTTACACTATACCGTCATACGAATGTCCTTTACCCAAACGATTTCTGCTTTTGCCATTCTCCACCCAGGTCAAGAAGGTGGGTACAGAGACCAAAAGGAAAGGAATCAGATCAGCTTTCTTACCAGTGAATTGAAGTCCCTGAAGATTATAATTCCATCTCCAAAGTAAGGTAGATTGTTGGTGAAGTCAATACCATTGACCCTGACAACAAAGTCCCAGCTCAAGGAGTAGATGTTTCCAGAATCTTCTAAGACCAGCTCCCTGATGTAGGATACTTCATCTGAAGGATTACGTTTCTCATTATCAGCCCAGAGATGGAAACCATTAGAGTTCTGACAATCTCTCACCAGTGTGTAGTCACAATCTCCTTGGAAGTTGTACTTCCTCTGGTCAAAGGTCACATAGTGAGGGTCACCCCACACCTGACAATATCCAGGAGCTGAAAAACAAGACGAAAGCAAAAAATCAAAACGAATGACAGAGAAGGCTAAAAATATTCCTTTCACCATTTTGTACTTTCATACTCTTTATACATAATTGGAACCTCTATTTGATGAACATGATTACCCCCTTTGTTTAAACATTGGATAAGGAGTACTTCCAAGGAATCAACACTATCACGGAGCGATGAAATCTTTTTCTCCTGCAATGACTAAGATAACAGTCTGGAAATTAAGACGCAATCGTTTACCTCGAATACAGTAACCTCCAAGAAGGATGTACCCGTCTTCACAGTAGCACTCTGGTATACCATTCTTGACCTGACATTCTTCATTCCTTCCACAGACATAAGGCTCACAATCTGCTATCCCTCCTGAACATTGGCAATGCTGAGAGCAGTCAGGACTAGTCCAGGTTCCCTCAGGCTGTAAAGATGTGTTTTAATGTAAAAATGAGGATGCTCAATTTAAAAAAGTTGCTCTCTGAATGGTGGTGACAAACCTTTTTTTCTGACGAAGTTTATGACTATGTTTGACAATTATTTTAAAGAAAATAGAGTATGGTTTTGTTTACAATGTTTGTTTTGAGTAACAAATTGTTTTAAGGAATTACCCAGCAATTCATGAACCAGTAGGGAATTTCAAACACATACAAAGGTTTTTCAAAGGAAACACAGGGATACAAGATTACACAAAAGTCTTGGTTTGAGTGGGCATATGAAATGTTCAAATGTTATGTTCTGAAAAATGACCCCTTACTCTTCCTCTCTCTCCCCATGGAATATCACAATATGAGACTTTTCCTGGGCAAAGATGCTACCATTGTTGAAGAAAAAAAAAGCAAGGCAGCATAAAAACAAGTTTTCTGGCAATGAAGAAAAGGGAGTGCAAGATGAAGAAAATTATTTTTATTATCATAACTATTTTATTATTACAATATTGTAGTTACAAAATGTGTCGAAAACCCATGTAAAACGAAGGTTTAGGCCTATTATTTATGGCTCGGTTGATAATCGGCCGACCTTTAGCAGGCGACAATCATTGACAATGGGGAAATGAATGGAGGTATCGACCGATCTGCGCGTGCGGCGGTGCTTATGCAAATTGTATTGTAAGTGTATTGAAGAGGAAAGACGTGAAGCTTCAGCAAAATAAGACGGCAATTCCCCTCAAAAATAACACACCTTATTGTTCGTATTGATAAACAAAACTTATATTTTTAGAAAGGAAAAAGTCTGATCTTTCATTTTTACGTTTACTAAAAATCACGAAAATGACTGAATGAGGCGCAATGAGCAATGAAAGTAGAAAACACCGCCAAATTTTCCTTTACTGGCGAAGCGCCGAAATCGCTCCGTCACAGAGGAAACAATCACCTTGCGTGGGCTCGCTCTCAAAGGGTTAAGATGACATAGGATAAAGTAGGTTTTGGTACCAATTCTTTAAAGTGCAGAAAATGCGATCCTCTAATGCGAACCCCAAAAAAGTTTTACCATTACATACGCTACTTTACATGCATACCCATGACTTATCACATTAATATGATAATTCTCCTTTCAGTACATCTCCATACTTACGGGAATATAGACATCATTTTCCAGAGTACATCCGCATTGTGAAGGATCCACACACTGATCTCCATCTCTCACTAAGCCATCAGCACACCTACAGGTCTCTTGACACGTCAGGTTACAGGGTATGGAACTGATGGCTGTAGAACATGTCTCTGGACAACCGCTTGAACAAGGGTCGTAGACAGTATTTGCAGGACATTCAAAGGCTATAAAAGAAAGATACAAGGGAAAACATATCATTAAAAAAAAAGACTGATGGATCTAGAAATAGTCTCTGGACAACCACTTACACAAAGGTCATATAATAGAACACATGCAAAGAATAGATGTAATGTTAATAGGGACAGAACTCGAGGTCGATTAACATCTCTCTACAGAACCATTGGCCCCATGGTGATAATTTGTGTTCATCAAATGAGAAGTTTACGGCTCACAAATATCAATTCATGCCCAATCACAAGATTGTTGACACAGGTAAAGAGCTATCAACAAAGCTCTATAGGTGGCAAAAGTTCAAGACTCAAGTTCAAAGATATGACTGAAAAAAATGAGGACTTACGACATTGAGGTGTCTCTGATCTCCAGTCATCAGGTTGTCCACCGGCCTGTCTACAAGCCTCTGCATACTGAGTCAGACTGTCACACAGGTATTCATCTCCCAATGCACAGATATCATACTTGCAGGAATCATAGAATGGATCAGGATCTCGGAAGTCATGGCACGGAGCAAATGGTCCTGAGTTAGAATGAGAATGTCATATTCAAGAGTACATAATAAAGATTGATATCAAAAGGGCTTGAAATGCATGTATTTCTACCATCTAATAATGTATCATCATGAAGATAATATGGAAGGTACACAGAAACAATAACAGAGTAATCACAATTTTAATAAAAACTGCTTGAAAATAACATTGAGCATTTCACTTCCTACCACAAATGAACATTTTGAAATCCATGTTCTAATAGGACAAAGAAAACTCTGTAATGGACCCAATTTAGTATGTCCTATGAGCCAGAAGGGTATGGAATCTCTGTAAAATGATATGAACTAATGCAAATAGACAAAATAAGATAGGTCTTCTGGAAAGACAACTGAGTATAGAAGAAGAGACAGCAAAACTATAAGATATATGATGAAACAACTGTTTGTTAAGTAGACCTACCATCTACGTCAAGAAGAACAGCACACAGGTCTTCAGCATCAGCAAGGAGAACCAAGTCTGCCTCACAAGGATCCGTTGGCTCTGGTCTGACATCGTCACATTCATCTACTGTAACAACCCAGCTGTTACCAAAATCTACTGGTGACTCCGCCTATTAAATACACAGGAAAAATTATCAATTTTCAGATTTTTGACAATTATCAAATAAGCACAGAGAGCAAGCTTGACATGTTGTCAAGGGGTTTAATACACATAGAACTCTGGTACCCACACATTTTATGTTCCTACATTCATAGTGCCTCATCCTCCTAATTTATGCATACATGTATTTGCATGACCATGCAATCAGTTGAAATATTTCTATTCACATAGAAATATATTAATCATTATATACATCATTGCATACTCCAAAATTTCTTGCTGTGTTCATTTCAATATTTAAACAACATTTCTCAATTTTGAATTCACATGTACATAATTCTTAGGTAAAATATATCCAGTGATGTTATCTTAAATAAGTATGAAATGATGTTTTAGATTCATTATATAGAAATTGCAAAACACTTCACATAATCACACAAAAATATGATACTTATTAACTTATATTTACATAAATCAACAAAGACAAAGGCACAAATCCGATTTGTTAACACTATTATTCATTGAATATCAACTGGCAGGATTACAGTACAATGCTTACCCAGATAGAATAATACTGTAAATGCAATCACCAATGTACTCACCAGTTCTCCATTTTGAAGTCTCCAATCATTAGATTTATCTCCATCAAAGGTTCCGCAAAGACCACAGCTCTGGTTCCAGTAAGAGTAGCTCAAGAAGATGTCTGCACTGCGTTTTCCATCGTATGATATCCACATGTAGTTTGTTATCAAAATCTATCGTCAAATATATAAAAGGTAGACGATAATATCAAATACATTACCATCAGGAACTTTACTAAACATATCAAACACTTTTGCAAACAGGAATTTCTGTTTTTATTTTCAGGATAACGTGCATTACAAACCAACAGCAAATCTTAAAGATATTATATTTGTCATAACCTAATTTGCATAGGAGCAACATGAATATAGTGTAAAACTTAATAAATATCTTTCAGAATTATAAGCAGAAAATTTTGCTGGGAATGTCATTATCTCTCTTGAACGTTGTATAACCACATCATTTGTAATCATGAAGTCTGAATAGAATTATCATACCTGTATTTTAATTAAATTCAAATAGTCTAGGGTTTCATGATGTGAATTCATATGTAAAGTAAAAGAAAATTGGTTCTAACCAGTGAATTGAAGTCCCTGAAGATGATAATTCCATCTCCAAAGTAAGGTAGATTGTTGGTGTAGTCAATACCATTGACCCTGACAACAAAGTCCCAGCTCAAGGAATAGATGTTTCCAGAATCTTCTAAAACCAGCTCCCTGATGTAAGATACTTCATCTGAAGGATTACGTTTCTCGTTATCAGCCCAGAGATGGAAACCATTAGAGTTCTGACAATCTCTCACCAGTGTGTAGTCACAATCTCCTTGGAAGTTGTACTTCCTCTGGTCAAAGGTCACATAATGAGGGTCACCCCAGACCTGGCAATACCCAGGAGCTGAAAAAACGAAGAAAAAAAAATGATGATGAATGACAACCAGAGAAGACTAAAAATATTCATTACATCAATTTGTACTTTTTTTTGCTCTTTATACATGACTGGAACTTCTATTTCATGAACATGAATACCTCTTTTGTTTAAACGTTGGATAAGGAGTACTTTCCAGGAATCAACACTATCAAGGAGCGATGAAATGCAAATAGGGAAAATTATAAAGCCTGTACATGTAGCTTCTTAAATTTATTTCACTGATATAACTCATAATTATCGAGAGTGCATATTATATCATTGCGAAGTAAGTATGTTTCTCCCCTACAATGAGTATAAAAGACAACAGACTGAAAACTAAGACGCATTTGTTTACCTCGAATACAGTAACCTCCAACAAGGGTGTATCCGTCTTGACAGTAGCACTCTGGTATTCCATTCTTGATTTGACATTCCTCATTCCTTCCACAGACATAGGACTGACATTCTGCTACCCCTCCTGAACACTGGCAATGTTGAGAGCAATCAGGACTGGTCCAGGTCCCCTCAGGCTAAAAAAAATGTGTTTTAATGTAAATTCGAGGATGCTCAATGTAAACAAAGTTGCTCTTTGGAAATTGTTGACAACCCTTTCTTTCCGACCAAGTTTATGACCATGTTTGACAATTATTTTTAAGAAAAGAATTGGTGGATGGTTCCGTTAACAATGTATGTTTTGAGGAAGTAATTGTTTTAAGGAATCACCCAGCATTTCGTGAACCAGAAGAGAATTTCAAAAGCAAACAAAGGCTTTTCATAGTAAACACAGGCAAAAAAGATCACACAAAAGGCAAAACTGCTGTCTTAAGATGAGAAAGGATAAAGTATTTTTTTATACCAATCTTTTAAAGTGCAAAATAAACAATCCTCTAATGGAACAATAACAAAATCAGGTTTTACCGTTACATACAGCACTTTACAGGCATAATCGAGACATATCACATTAATAAATAATAATTCTCCTTTCAGTACATCTCCATACTTACGGGAATATAGACATCATTTTCCAGAGTACATCCGCATTGTGAAGGATCCACACACTGATCTCCATCTCTCACTAAGCCATCAGCACACCTACAGGTCTCTTGACACGTCAGGTTACAGGGTATGGAACTGATGGCTGTTGAACATGTCTCTGGACAACCGCTTGAACAAGGGTCGTAGACAGTATCCGCAGGACAATCAAAGGCTATAAAAGAAAGATACAAGGGAAAAAATTTCATTAAAAAAAAAGACTCATGGATCTAGAAATAGTCTCTGGACAACCACTTACACAAAGGTCAAAGATAGTATTTGCAGGAAACGTGAACATAATAGAACACATTCAAAGAATAGATGTAATGTTAATAGGGACAGAACTCAAGGTTGATTAACATGTCTCTAGAGAACCATTGGCCCCATGGTGATAATTTGTGTTCATCAAATGAGAAGTTTACGGCTCACAAATATCAATTCATGCCCAATCACAAGATTGTTGACACAGGTAGAGAGCTATCAACAAAGCTCTAGAGGTGGCAAAAGTTCAAGACTCAAGTTCAAAGATATGACTGAAATAAATGAGGACTTACGACATTGAGGTGTCTCTGATCTCCAGTCATCAGGTTGTCCACCGGCCTGTCTGCAAGCCTCTGCATACTGAGTCAGACTGTCACACAGGAATTCATCTCCCAATGCACAGATATCATACTTGCAGGAATCATAGAACGGATCAGGATCTCGGAAGTCATGGCACGGAGCAAATGGTCCTGAGTTAGAATGAGAATGTCATATTCAAGAGTACATAATAAAGATAGATATCAAAAGGGCTTGAAATGCATGTATTTCTACCATCTAATAATGTATCATCATTAAGATAATATGGAAGGTACACAGAAACAATAACAGAGTAATCACATTTGTAATAAAAACTGCTTTAAAATAACATTAAGCATTTCACTTCCTACCACAAATGAACATTTCGAAATCCATGTTCTAATAGGACAAAGAAAACTCTGTAATGGACCCAATTTGGTACGTCCTATGAGCCAGAAGGGTATGAAAACTCTGTAAAATGATATAAACTAATGCAAATAGACAAAATAAGATAGGTCTTCTCGGAAGACAACTGAGTATAAAAGAAGAGACAGCAAAACTATAAGATATATGATGAAACAACTGTTTGTTAAGTAGACCTACCATCTACGTCAAGAAGAACAGCACACAGGTCTTCAGCATCAGCAAGGAGAACCAAGTCTGCCTCACAAGGATCCGTTGGCTCTGGTCTGACATCGTCACATTCATCTACTGTCACAACCCAGCTGTTCCCAAAATCTACTGGTGAATCCGCCTATTAAATACACAGGAAAAATTATCAATTTTCAGATTTTTGACAATTATCAAATAAGCACAGAGAGCAAACTTGACATGTTGTCAAGGGGTTTAATACACATAGAACTCTGGTACCCACACATTTTATGTTCCTACATTCATAGTGCCTCATCCTCCTAATTTATGCATACATGTATTTGCATTACCATGCAATCAGTTGAAATATTTCTATTCACATAGAAATATATTAATCATTATATACATCATTGCATACTCCAAAATTTCTTGCTGTGTTCATTTCAATATTTAAACAACATTTCTCAATTTTGAATTCACATGTACATAATTCTTAGGTAAAATATATCCAGTGATGTTATGTCAAATAAGTATGAAATGATGTTTTAGATTCATTACATAAAATTTGCAAAAATTTCACATAATCACAAAAAAATATGATACTTATTAACTTATGTTTACATAAATCAACAAAGACAAAGGCACAAATCCGATTTGTTAACACTATTATGCACTGAATATCAACTGGCAGGATAACAGTACAATGCTTACCCAGATAGAATAATACTGTAAATGCAATCACCAATGTACTCACCAGTTCTCCATTTTGAAGTCTCCAATCATTAGATTTATCTCCATCAAAGGTTCCGCAAAGACCACAGGTCTGGTTCCAGTAAGAGTAGCTCAAGAAGATGTCTGCACTGCGTTTTCCATCGTATGATATCCACATATAGTTTGTTATCAAAATCTATCGTCAAATATATAAAAGGTAGACAATAATATCAAATACATTACCATCAGGAACTTTACTAAACATATCAAACACTTTTGCAAACAGGAATTTCTGTTTTTATTTTCAGGATAACGTGCATTACAAACCAACAGCAAATCTTAAAGTTATTATATTTGTCATAACCTAATTTGCATAGGAGCAACATGAATATAGTGTAAAACTTAATAAATATCTTTCAGAATTATAAACAGAAAATTTTGCTGGGAATGTCATTATCTCTCTTGAACGTTGTATAACCACATCATTTGTAATCATGAAGTCTGAATAGAATTATCATACCTGTATTTTAATTAAATTCAAATAGTCTAGGGTTTCATGATGTGAATTCATATGTAAAGTAAAAGAAATTTGGTTCTAACCAGTGAATTGAAGTCCCTGAAGATGATAATTCCATCTCCAAAGTAAGGTAGATTGTTGGTGAAGTCAATACCATTGACCCTGACAACAAAGTCCCAGCTCAAGGAATAGATGTTTCCAGAATCTTCTAAGACCAGCTCCCTGATGTAAGATACTTCATCTGAAGGATTACGTTTCTCATTATCAGCCCAGAGATGGAAACCACTTGAGTTCAGACAATCTCTCACCAATGTGTAGTCACAATCTCCTTGGAAGTTGTACTTCCTCTGGTCAAAGGTCACATAGTGAGGGTCACCCCAGACCTGACAGTAGCCAGGAGCTGAAAAACAACAAATACAAATTTTTAAAAATCATTTAAATCCTCTTGTTATTCTATTGTCTGTAAAAGTACATCAGAGGGAAAGGAAAGTTGCTCTTGCTGTTAGTTCTCAAGAATTCTTATGAAGATGAAAAGCTAATCTGAACAATGAAATGAATTTGAATTGGTCTTTGGTTGCAGTTTACTCTTACTCTCCAACTACTCCTCTTAACACCGAGCATGTCGAGAGGGAGAGGAATTATCACCTTCCTTACCTTCTCCTTGGTACATGTACACTGTACTAAAAATAAGATGGTATCAACTTGTATGTAGCAAAGACAACAGAAGGAAACAATGGAAGGAGACCATCATCCTGGGAAAAATTTATGAAATGGGGCCTAGATTTACCTTTGACACAGTAACCTCCAAGAAGGGTGTACCCATCTTGACAGTAGCACTCTGGTATTCCATTCTTGAGCTGACATTCTTCATTCCTTCCACAGACATAGGGCTCACATTCTGCTATCCCTCTTGAACATTGGCAATGCTGAGAGCAATCAGGACTAGTCCAGGCCCCCTCAGGCTACAAGTAGAATGGTTTAATAATCAACAGCATTATTGAAATTTTTCTTTTACACTAAAGGTACTACATTTTCCTTAACTACTCAAACATTCATGAATATTTTTTAAAGAATTAAAATTATTTTTGATCAAAAAATTTGAAAAAATAAGGAAAAACTCAACTTAAGCATTAATTAGCAATGTGTAAGTCTTACAAAAAAGCATGAGAAGATTTACAAAAAAATGATAGTGATGTAGAAAACTGGCACATTTGCACATGCCTTAAATTCAATCGAAAGAAATTATATAATATTCTTTGTCTAGTAATTTCATGGACATAGACGTATATTCTAAAATATATATGTATGATAATGAAACACTGAACAGTTGTTCAAGTATGGACAGAATAAATACAAAATTATAGTGACTTTGAGGAAAAACTCACTGGAATATAGACATCATTAACTAGAGTGCAACCACACTGTGATGGATCCACACAGTGCCCACCATCCAGTACAAGACCATCTGCACATCTACATGTTTCCTGGCAAGTGGCATTGCAGGAAAATGTGCTCGCAGCAGAGGAACAGGTTGCTGGACAGCCACTGAAGCAGGGGTCGTACACAGTGTTGGAAGGACAGTTCAGTGCTGCACACAAGATCAAATATGGAATACAGTTTATATATGCAAGAATGTCATCTGAAAACCTACATGAAAACAAATTTCTCTCCAATCTTATCTCTCTGACAACAATGCATCGACTCTCCAGACAAATATAACAAAAATCGTCTTTCTAGTGACTTACGGCATTCTTCCACAAGCAATCTCCATCTGCCAGGTTTCCCTCCCTTGCTCCTGCAGGCACGAGCGTATTGTGCAAGACTGGCACACAGGGCATCGTCTCCTGTTTCACATACATCGTACAGACATGATTGGTAGTAATCCTCTGGAGCCACATACTCATGGCAAGATGCAAAAGGACCTGCAATACGATATCGAAAGTGACACAAAATCCATTATCAAGAGAAATTACACGGACTATCTACGAGGTGCAACTATTTTGTTTACAATATGTATCTCAGTTTTATCCCATGCAGTTTGCATCAAGACGGAATGAATTTGACAAATTCTGATACTTCTGACAAAGCTATTGAAGAAGAACACTGATAAATATTTACCAGATAGATCCAGAAGATAATTGCAGACATCTGCAGCCTCCTCTCTGGTATTCTCCAACCCTTCTTCACATGGATCGGTAGGACCAGGTTCTACATCGCCGCATTGTTCCGGATTTACTACCCAGCTATTTCCAAACTCGGTTTTAGATTTTGCCTGCAATTGAGGAAAACAAAATATAGTCGCACCACTTCTTAGTAAAACACAACATTTTCTTCTCTTTGTTCAAAAGATTGGAATATCAGGCTTTCTACATTAAACACAAACTGAGAAGCATGATGAAAACACAACAAGCTCAATGGATTTGACAATCCACATGAAAAAGTGTAGTGTGTTTCTTTAAGATCGATAAATAAAAAAAAGAGAGAAAAGAAGTTGATATTCACTTACCACTTCTCCACTGGGAAGCAACAGGTCATTTGATTTATCTCCATCAAAATTTCCACAAAGACCACATGTACGCCCAAAGTAGGAGTAGCTCAGGTAAACATCAGCACTGTTCTTTCCATCATAGCTCACCCACAAGAAGTCTGTCACCAGGTTCTATTAAAGTAACCAAGTGGTAAAGTCGAGGATTAGTTTTGACCAAACACAATTTCACATCAGAATATGATATTACATGAAGACAGATGTGTTTTGATGACATGACGGTTTGTATCCCACTGCTGCCATCACTTGTACAGAATTGGTTTCACCTTACTAGGTTTCACTAAAATAAAACACCCACACACACACACACACACACACACAAAACATGTATCATAAATAGAGGAGTTTTAATGGTATTGGTTTGAATCTCATTACTGACACCAGATTTTTGAGCCAGTATTGCTAACCAGGTTTTACTCCCAGAAAAAAACAGATTACATGCATATCAAGATCGCCATGCTATGATGACACTGTACAATGAAATATGTTTTAAATCCTCATCCCTAGCAAAATATCAACTCACCATTGATGTCACATCCCTGTAGATCAAGACTTGCTCATCAAAGTAAGGCAGATTTCTTGAAAAATCAATGCCATCCACTCGTACGTGGAAATCTTTGATCAGAGAGTAAATGTTTCCTTTCAACTCTAGTGTCACCTCTCTCAAGTAGGAAACTTTGTCTGATGGACGCAAGAGTTCATTGTTGGACCACAGGTGGAAATCACTAGAATTCTGGCAATCTCTGACCAGCGTGTAGTCACAATCACCCTGGAAGTTATATTTCTTATCGTCAAAGGTCACATAATGAGGGTCACCCCAGATCTGACAGAAACCGGGAGCTAATGACAAAAGACAGGGAGAGGCAATCACAGAACATTTAGTATATTCATCATTAATATATTTATTTCTCATTCATACGCAATTCATACATGAAAGGAGATGACATATAATATCTCAAAAAACTCTTGTGCATATCTCCATTGTCCAAGTAGAGGTGAATATATCACTATTATTTCTCTTCTGATTTCCAGGACTAAATTTCTCACCTCTGAAGCAGGCATCTCCAAGAGAGGTGTAGCCATCTTTGCAGTAACAGCTCGGAACACCGTTCTTGATATCACAGCTTTCATTCTCTCCACACTGGAATGATTCACACTGGGTACGCCCACCTTCACAGGTGCACTGCTGTGAACAGTCAGGCCTTGTCCATAGAGCTCCAGACTGTCAAAAAGTGCACCAAAGGAAAAATGCTGGAAGTTAGAATATATGAACAACTTTACAGATGCATGTCCGTACCTGCTCTTAGGGAAATCGAACAGCTGAATTTGCAAACGAGAATGTCTTAATCCTCTTGCAGATTAAGCAGTGATCGAAGCATGGAAAAGTTACATACTGGTAGGTACTTCAGCACTCGATTTCAAACTTACCGGAATATAAACACCATTCTCCAGAGTGCAACCACACTGTGATGGATCCACACAGTGCCCACCATCCAGTACAAGACCATCTGCACATCTACATGTTTCCTGGCAAGTGGTATTGCAGGACAATGTGCTTGCAGCAGAGGAACAGGTTTCTGGACAGCCACTGAAGCAGGGGTCATACACAGTGTTGGAAGGACAGTTCAATGCTGTGGAAAATAAACCAACACATCTAGATATAGCATCATTTAGTCCCCAAAACTAATTGCTTTATATCCTCCAATCAAAATATTTCAACCGCATAAGAAACTAAAGTCCAAAATCCAAAAAGGGTAATACATGGGTAATATATATGTAATCAAGAGTTAACTATCATGTAAAGGACCTTCATTGCAAGATATTAAAATGCATGTCAAGCAAAGAATCAACAGTTTTACGGATAGGATACCACAGGTTAATCATATTATATCTCTCTTAACTCCCACTTTATCAAGGCAAGTTCTAAATATATTTCACATTCACCCAACATCTAGGAAACCATTTCTGCAGACTTACGGCATTCAGGCACCGAAGCTCTCCAGTTTCCAGGCTGACCACCCCTATTTCTGCAGGCCTGGGCATACTCTTCTAGATTGGCACACAGGGCATCATCTCCTGTTTCACATACATCGTACAGACATGATTGGTAGTAATCCTCTGGAGCCACATACTCATGGCAAGATGCAAAAGGACCTGCAATACGATATCGAAAGTGACACAAAATCCATTATCAAGAGAAATTACATGGACTATCCACGAGGTGCAACTATTTTGTTTACAATATGTATCTCAGTTCTATCCCATGCAGTTTGCATCAAGACGGAATGAATTTGACAAATTCTGATACTTCTGATAAAGCTATTGAAGAAGAACACTGATAAATATTTACCAGATAGATCCAGAAGATAATTGCAGACATCTGCAGCCTCCTCTCTGGTATTCTCCAACCCTTCTTCACATGGATCGGTAGGACCAGGTTCTACATCGCCGCATTGTTCCGGATTTACTACCCAGCTATTTCCAAACTCGGTTTTAGATCTTGCCTGCAATTGAGGAAAACAAAATATAGTCGCACCACTTCTTAGTGAAACACAACATTTTCTTCTCTTTGTTCAAAAGATTGGAATATCAGGCTTTCTACATTAAACACAAACTGAGAAGCATGATGAAAACACAACAAGCTCAAAGGATTTGACAATCCACATGAAAAAGTGTAGTGTGTTTCTTTAAGATCGATAAATAAAAAAAAGAGAGAAAAGAAGTTGATATTCACTTACCACTTCTCCACTGGGAAGCAACAGGTCATTTGATTTATCTCCATCAAAATTTCCACAAAGACCACATGTACGCCCAAAGTAGGAGTAGCTCAGGTAAACATCAGCACTGTTCTTTCCATCATAGCTCACCCACAAGAAGTCTGTCACCAGGTTCTATTAAAGTAACCAAGTGGTAAAGTCGAGGATTAGTTTTGACCAAACACAATTTCACATCAGAATATGATATTACATGAAGACAGATGTGTTTTGATGACATGACGGTTTGTATCCCACTGCTGCCATCACTTGTACAGAATTGGTTTCACCTTACTAGGTTTCACTAAAATAAAACACCCACACACACACACACACACACACACAAAACATGTATCATAAATAGAGGAGTTTTAATGGTATTGGTTTGAATCTCATTACTGACACCAGATTTTTGAGCCAGTATTGCTAACCAGGTTTTACTCCCAGAAAAAAACAGATTACATGCATATCAAGATCGCCATGCTATGATGACACTGTACAATGAAATATGTTTTAAATCCTCATCCCTAGCAAAATATCAACTCACCATTGATGTCACATCCCTGTAGATCAAGACTTGCTCATCAAAGTAAGGTAGATTTCTTGAAAAATCAATGCCATCCACTCGTACGTGGAAATCTTTGATCAGAGAGTAAATGTTTCCTTTCAACTCTAGTGTCACCTCTCTCAAGTAGGAAACTTTGTCTGATGGACGCAAGATTTCATTGTTGGACCACAGGTGGAAATCACTAGAATTCTGGCAATCTCTGACCAGCGTGTAGTCACAATCACCCTGGAAGTTATATTTCTTATCGTCAAAGGTCACATAATGAGGGTCACCCCAGATCTGACAGAAACCGGGAGCTAATGACAAAAGACAGGGAGAGGCAATCACAGAACATTTAGTATATTCATCATTAATATATTTATTTCTCATTCATACGCAATTCATACATGAAAGGAGATGACATATAATATCTCAAAAAACTCTTGTGCATATCTCCATTGTCCAAGTAGAGGTGAATATATCACTATTATTTCTCTTCTGATTTCCAGGACTAAATTTCTCACCTCTGAAGCAGGCATCTCCAAGAGAGGTGTAGCCATCTTTGCAGTAACAGCTCGGAACACCGTTCTTGATATCACAGCTTTCATTCTCTCCACACTGGAATGATTCACACTGGGTACGCCCACCTTCACAGGTGCACTGCTGTGAACAGTCAGGCCTTGTCCATAGAGCTCCAGACTGTCAAAAAGTGCACCAAAGGAAAAATGCTGGAAGTTAGAATATATGAACAACTTTACAGATGCATGTCCGTACCTGCTCTTAGGGAAATCGAACAGCTGAATTTGCAAACGAGAATGTCTTAATCCTCTTGCAGATTAAGCAGTGATCGAAGCATGGAAAAGTTACATACTGGTAGGTACTTCAGCACTCGATTTCAAACTTACCGGAATATAAACACCATTCTCCAGAGTGCAACCACACTGTGATGGATCCACACAGTGCCCACCATCCAGTACAAGACCATCTGCACATCTACATGTTTCCTGGCAAGTGGTATTGCAGGACAATGTGCTTGCAGCAGAGGAACAGGTTTCTGGACAGCCACTGAAGCAGGGGTCATACACAGTGTTGGAAGGACAGTTCAATGCTGTGGAAAATAAACCAACACATCTAGATATAGCATCATTTAGTCCCCAAAACTAATTGCTTTATATCCTCCAATCAAAATATTTCAACCGCATAAGAAACTAAAGTCCAAAATCCAAAAAGGGTAATACATGGGTAATATATATGTAATCAAGAGTTAACTATCATGTAAAGGACCTTCATTGCAAGATATTAAAATGCATGTCAAGCAAAGAATCAACAGTTTTACGGATAGGATACCACAGGTTAATCATATTATATCTCTCTTAACTCCCACTTTATCAAGGCAAGTTCTAAATATATTTCACATTCACCCAACATCTAGGAAACCATTTCTGCAGACTTACGGCATTCAGGCACCGAAGCTCTCCAGTTTCCAGGCTGACCACCCCTATTTCTGCAGGCCTGGGCATACTCTTCTAGATTGGCACACAGGGCATCATCTCCTGTTTCACATACATCGTACAGACATGATTGGTAGTAATCCTCTGGAGCCACATACTCATGGCAAGATGCAAAAGGACCTGCAATACGATATCGAAAGTGACACAAAATCCATTATCAAGAGAAATTACATGGACTATCCACGAGGTGCAACTATTTTGTTTACAATATGTATCTCAGTTCTATCCCATGCAGTTTGCATCAAGACGGAATGAATTTGACAAATTCTGATACTTCTGATAAAGCTATTGAAGAAGAACACTGATAAATATTTACCAGATAGATCCAGAAGATAATTGCAGACATCTGCAGCCTCCTCTCTGGTATTCTCCAACCCTTCTTCACATGGATCGGTAGGACCAGGTTCTACATCGCCGCATTGTTCCGGATTTACTACCCAGCTATTTCCAAACTCGGTTTTAGATCTTGCCTGCAATTGAGGAAAACAAAATATAGTCGCACCACTTCTTAGTGAAACACAACATTTTCTTCTCTTTGTTCAAAAGATTGGAATATCAGGCTTTCTACATTAAACACAAACTGAGAAGCATGATGAAAACACAACAAGCTCAAAGGATTTGACAATCCACATGAAAAAGTGTAGTGTGTTTCTTTAAGATCGATAAATAAAAAAAAGAGAGAAAAGAAGTTGATATTCACTTACCACTTCTCCACTGGGAAGCAACAGGTCATTTGATTTATCTCCATCAAAATTTCCACAAAGACCACATGTACGCCCAAAGTAGGAGTAGCTCAGGTAAACATCAGCACTGTTCTTTCCATCATAGCTCACCCACAAGAAGTCTGTCACCAGGTTCTATTAAAGTAACCAAGTGGTAAAGTCGAGGATTAGTTTTGACCAAACACAATTTCACATCAGAATATGATATTACATGAAGACAGATGTGTTTTGATGACATGACGGTTTGTATCCCACTGCTGCCATCACTTGTACAGAATTGGTTTCACCTTACTAGGTTTCACTAAAATAAAACACCCACACACACACACACACACACACACAAAACATGTATCATAAATAGAGGAGTTTTAATGGTATTGGTTTGAATCTCATTACTGACACCAGATTTTTGAGCCAGTATTGCTAACCAGGTTTTACTCCCAGAAAAAAACAGATTACATGCATATCAAGATCGCCATGCTATGATGACACTGTACAATGAAATATGTTTTAAATCCTCATCCCTAGCAAAATATCAACTCACCATTGATGTCACATCCCTGTAGATCAAGACTTGCTCATCAAAATAAGGTAGATTTCTTGAAAAATCAATGCCATCCACTCGTACGTGGAAATCTTTGATCAGAGAGTAAATGTTTCCTTTCAACTCTAGTGTCACCTCTCTCAAGTAGGAAACTTTGTCTGATGGACGCAAGATTTCATTGTTGGACCACAGGTGGAAATCACTAGAATTCTGGCAATCTCTGACCAGCGTGTAGTCACAATCACCCTGGAAGTTATATTTCTTATCGTCAAAGGTCACATAATGAGGGTCACCCCAGATCTGACAGAAACCGGGAGCTAATGACAAAAGACAGGGAGAGGCAATCACAGAACATTTAGTATATTCATCATTAATATATTTATTTCTCATTCATACGCAATTCATACATGAAAGGAGATGACATATAATATCTCAAAAAACTCTTGGGCATATCTCCATTGTCCAAGTAGAGGTGAATATATCACTATTATTTCTCTTCTGATTTCCAGGACTAAATTTCTCACCTCTGAAGCAGGCATCTCCAAGAGAGGTGTAGCCATCTTTGCAGTAACAGCTCGGAACACCGTTCTTGATATCACAGCTTTCATTCTCTCCACACTGGAATGATTCACACTGGGCACGCCCACCTTCACAGGTGCACTGCTGTGAACAGTCAGGCCTTGTCCATAGAGCTCCAGACTGTCAAAAAGTGCACCAAAGGAAAAATGCTGGAAGTTAGAATATATGAACAACTTTACAGATGCATTACCGTACCTGCTCTTAGGGAAATCGAACAGCTGAATATGCAAACGAGAATGTCTTGATCCTCATGCAGATTAAGCAGTGATTGAAGCATGGAAAAGTTACATACTGCTAGGTACTTCAGCGCTCGATTTCAAACTTACCGGAATATAAACACGATTCTCCAGAGTGCAACCACACTGTGATGGATCCACACACTTTCCGTCATCAAGTACAAGACCATCTGCACATCTGCATGTTTCCTGGCAAGTGGTATTGCAGGACAATGTGCTTGCAGCAGAGGAACAGGTTTCTGGACAGCCACTGAAGCAGGGGTCATACACAGTGTTGGAAGGACAGTCCAATGCTGTGGAAAATAAACCAACACATCTAGATATAGCATCATTTAGTCCCCAAAACTAATTGCTTTATATCCTCCAATCAAAATATTGCAACCGCATAGGAAACTAAAGTCCAAAATCCAAAAAGGGTAATACATGGGTAATATATATGTAATCAAGAGTTAACTATCATGTAAAGGACCTTCATTGCAAGATATTAAAATGCATGTCAAGCAAAGAATCAACAGTATTACGGATAGGATACCACAGGTTAATCATATTATATCTCTCTTAACTCCCACTTTATCAAGGCAAGTTCTAAATATATTTCACATTCACCCAACATCTGGGAAACCATTTCTGCAGACTTACGGCATTCAGGCACCGAAGCTCTCCAGTTTCCAGGCTGACCACCCCTATTTCTGCAGGCCTGAGCATACTCTTCTAGATTGGCACACAGGGCATCATCTCCTGTTTCACATACATCGTACAGACATGATTGGTAGTAATCCTCTGGAGCCACATACTCATGGCAAGATGCAAAAGGACCTGCAATACGATATCGAAAGTGACACAAAATCCATTATCAAGAGAAATTACACGGACTATCTACGAGGTGCAACTATTTTGTTTACAATATGTATCTCAGTTTTATTCCATGCAGTTTGCATCAAAACGGAATGAATTTGACAAATTCTGATACTTCTGATAAAGCTATTGAAGAAGAACACTGATAAATATTTACCAGATAGATCCAGAAGATAATTGCAGACATCTGCAGCCTCCTCTCTGGTATTCTCCAACCCTTCTTCACATGGATCGGTAGGACCAGGTTCTACATCGCCGCATTGTTCCGGATTTACTACCCAGCTATTTCCAAACTCGGTTTTAGATCTTGCCTGCAATTGAGGAAAACAAAATATAGTCGCACCACTTCTTAGTGAAACACAACATTTTCTTCTCTTTGTTCAAAAGATTGGAATATCAGGCTTTCTACATTAAACACAAACTGAGAAGCATGATGAAAACACAACAAGCTCAAAGGATTTGACAATCCACATAAAAAAGGGTGGTGTGTTTCTTTAAGATCGATAAATAAAAAAAAGAGAGAAAAGAAGTTGATATTCACTTACCACTTCTCCACTGGGAAGCAACAGGTCATTTGATTTATCTCCATCAAAATTTCCACAAAGACCACATGTACGCCCAAAGTAGGAGTAGCTCAGGTAAACATCAGCACTGTTCTTTCCATCATAGCTCACCCACAAGAAGTCTGTCACCAGGTTCTATTAAAGTAACAAAGTGGTAAAGTCGAGGATTAGTTTTGACCAAACACAATTTAACATCAGAATACAATAGTACATGAAGACAGATGTGTTTTGATCACATGACGGTTTGTATCACACTGCTGCCATCACTTGTACAGAATTGGTTTCACCTTACTAGGTTTGACTCAAATAAAACACCCACACACACACACACACAGACAAAACATGTATCATAAATAGAGGAGTTTTAATGGTATTGGTTTGAATCTCATTACTGACACCAGATTTTTGAGCCAGTATTGCTAACCAGGTTTTACTCCCAGAGAAAAACAGATTACATGCATATCAAGATCGCCATGCTATGATGACACTGTACAATGAAATATGTTTTAAATCCTCATCCCTAGCAAAATATCAACTCACCATTGATGTCACATCCCTGTAGATCAAGACTTGCTCATCAAAGTAAGGCAGATTTCTTGAAAAATCAATGCCATCCACTCGTACGTGGAAATCTTTGATCAGAGAGTAAATGTTTCCTTTCAACTCTAGTGTCACCTCTCTCAAGTAGGAAACTTTGTCTGATGGACGCAAGAGTTCATTGTTGGACCACAGGTGGAAATCACTAGAATTCTGGCAATCTCTGACCAGCGTGTAGTCACAATCACCCTGGAAGTTATATTTCTTATCGTCAAAGGTCACATAATGAGGGTCACCCCAGATCTGACAGAAACCGGGAGCTAACGAAAAAAGACAGGGAGAGGCAATGACAAAACATTTAGTATATTCATCATTAATATATTTATTTCTCATTCATACGCAATTCATACATGAAAGGAGATGACATATAATATCTCAAAAAACTCTTGTGCATATGTCCATTGTCCAAGTAGAGGTGAATATATCACTATTATTTCTCTTCTGATTTCCAGGACTAAATTTCTCACCTCTGAAGCAGGCATCTCCAAGAGAGGTGTAGCCATCTTTGCAGTAACAGCTCGGAACACCGTTCTTGATATCACAGCTTTCATTCTCTCCACACTGGAATGATTCACACTGGGCACGCCCACCTTCACAGGTGCACTGCTGTGAACAGTCGGGCCTTGTCCATGAAGCTCCAGACTGTCAAAAAGTGCATCAAAGGAAAAATGCTGGAAGTTAGAATATATGAACAACTTTACAGATGCATGACCGTACCTGCTCTTAGGGAAATCGAACAGCCGAATTTGCAAACGAGAATGTCTTGATCCTCATGCAGATTAAGCAGTGATGGAAGCATGGAAAAGTTACATACTGGTAGGTACTTCAGCGCTCGATTTCAAACTTACCGGAATATAAACACCACTATCCAGAGTGCAACCACACTGTGATGGATCCACACAGTGCCCACCATCCAGTACAAGACCATCTGCACATCTACACGTTTCCTGGCAAGTGGTATTGCAGGACAATGTGCTCGCAGCAGAGGAACAGGTTGCTGGACAGCCACTGAAGCAGGGGTCGTACACAGTGTTGGAAGGACAGTTCAGTGCTGCACACAAGATCAAATATGGAACACAGTTTATGTATGCAAGAATATCATCTGAAAACCTACATGAAAACAAATTTCTCTCCAATCTTATCTCTCTGACAACAATGCATCGACTCTCCAGACAAACGTAATAAAAATCGTCTTTCTAGTGACTTACGGCATTCTTCCACAAGCAATCTCCATCTGCCAGGTTTCCCTCCCTTGCTCCTGCAGGCACGAGCGTATTGTGCAAGACTGGAACACAGAGCATCATCACCGGTAAGACACACGTCATAGACGCACGAATCATAGTAGTCGTCTGGATCCACGATCTCAAGGCAGGATTCAAATGGTCCTGGAGGAATAGAAAGTGCAGGTCAAAATGGTTTATGGACAATTGAAAGTGATTCTATATTTCCCAGCCATCGTCTCCTACCCATCTTGATAATTTCTTCACAGTTTTTCCTCTAACCACAAACTGATACTGTTTTTAAAATATACAAATATTCAGAACTGTAGGAAAACTACAGGAAGAGAAGGTTGTTTCAGATGTGTTTCATTCTTACCGGAAGGATCCTTCAAATAATAGCACAGATCGTTGGATGCAGACAAGCTGTTCACTCCATCCTCACAAGGGTCAGTTGGACCTGGATCCACACCATCACATTGGTCAGGGTACGCAACCCAGCTGTTTCCAAACTCAGTTGCTGATCTTGCCTGTTGAGAATTACCATCAACCATAACCATCATGAGTATCATCAAAGTATCAGACTGGTAATTGCATCACTGTAACACTCATCACAAAATATTAGAATTATGGAATGGCACCTTTTGAGATTTCTTTTCAAGTCAAGAACGAACTGAATTTGAAACGGGGGTTCAAATAGAACAGACATCTAGACTAAGTGCAAGGAGTATCTTACCAATTCTCCTGAAGGAAGTATCATATCATTGTTCTGGTCTCCATCAAAGGATCCACACAGGCCACAAGTTCTTCCTGCAAAGTAACTGAGGTACACATCAGCACTGTCCATTCCATCGTAGCTAACCCATAAGAAATCTGTTACCAGATTCTACAAAAGAGAAAGGAAAAAGAATCCCACACATCGTTAAACATGCAAGAACATTCAAAACTTCTTGCATGAGGTTGGAATAACTTATTACCACACAACCTCATGGAAAACTCTATGAACGACGAATACAGAAGATTCATATCAATTTCTAGGCTTTTCCATTTTAAACACATAACTAAAGTACATGGCACGTAATAGAATTCCTTACATTACACACAGCCCAACCATTTTTGAAATACTAAATATGAAAAACAGGGTTTATCTATGACATACCATGGATGTCACATCCCTGTAGATCCACACTTGCTCATCCATGTAAGGCAGGTTTTCAGAGACATCTCTTCCATTCACTCTGACATGGAAGCCCTTGATCAGAGCGTATCTTCTATCGCTCAGGTCAAGTACCACTTCCCTCAGGTAAGAAACACTGTCAGATGGGTGCAGCCGTTCATTGTTGGACCACAGGTGGTAGTCACTGGAATTCTGGCAATCTCTGACCAGCGTGTAGTCACAATCACCCTGGAAGTTATATTTCTTATCGTCAAAGGTCACATAATGGGGGTCACCCCAGATCTGGCAATACCCAGGAGCTATAAGTATAAGACAAAATCAGACAAAAAAGGAATGATCAGTATCAACATCAGTGGTATCATCTGTACATCGCAATTGCCTTGCAGAGCTATCTTATATCTTGTACAAAGTGGCATGTTGATAAAAACATCTTCATCTAATGACTTCTGAAAACGAACTTCTCACCTCTGAAGCAGGCATCTCCGAGAGAGGTGTAGCCATCTCTGCAGTAACAGCTTGGAAAACCGTTCCTGATTTCGCATTCTTCGTTCTCTCCACACTGGAATTCGGAACACTCTGCAAGCCCACCTCGACAAAGGCAGTGTTGTGTGCAGCCTGGGTCAGTCCATGCTCCTCCAGACTGTCAAAAAGTGCAACAAAGGAAAAATGCTGGAAGTTAGAATATATGAACAACTTTACAGATGCATTACCATAGCTGCTCTTGGCAAAATTGAACAGCTGAATTGGCAAATGAAGATGTCTTGATCCTCTTGCAGATTAAGCAGTGAATGGAAGCATGGAACATTTTCATACTGGTAGGTACTTCAGCGCTCGATTTCAAACTTACCGGAATATAAACACCACTATCCAGAGTGCAACCACACTGTGATGGATCCACACAGTGCCCACCATCCAGTACAAGACCATCTGCACATCTACACGTTTCCTGGCAAGTGGTATTGCAGGACAATGTGCTCGCAGCAGAGGAACAGGTTGCTGGACAGCCACTGAAGCAGGGGTCGTACACAGTGTTGGAAGGACAGTTCAGTGCTGCACACAAGATCAAATATGGAACACAGTTTATGTATGCAAGAATATCATCTGAAAACCTACATGAAAACAAATTTCTCTCCAATCTTATCTCTCTGACAACAATGCATCGACTCTCCAGACAAACGTAATAAAAATCGTCTTTCTAGTGACTTACGGCATTCTTCCACAAGCAATCTCCATCTGCCAGGTTTCCCTCCCTTGCTCCTGCAGGCACGAGCGTATTGTGCAAGACTGGAACACAGAGCATCATCACCGGTAAGACACACGTCATAGACGCACGAATCATAGTAGTCGTCTGGATCCACGATCTCAAGGCAGGATTCAAATGGTCCTGAAGGAATAGAAAGTGCAGGTCAAAATGGTTTATGGACAATTGAAAGTGATTCTATATTTCCCAGCCATCGTCTCCTACCCATCTTGATAATTTCTTCACAGCTTTTCCTCTAACCACAAACTGATACTGTTTTTGAAAAATACAAATATTCAGAACTGTAGGAAAACTACAGGAAGAGAAGGTTGTTTCAGATGTGTTTCATTCTTACCGGAAGGATCCTTCAAATAATAGCACAGATCGTTGGATGCAGACAAGCTGTTCACTCCATCCTCACAAGGGTCAGTTGGACCTGGATCCACACCATCACATTGGTCAGGGTACGCAACCCAGCTGTTTCCAAACTCAGTTGCTGATCTTGCCTGTTGAGAATTACCATCAACCATAACCATCATGAGTATCATCAAAGTATCAGACTGGTAATTGCATCACTGTAACACTCATCACAAAATATTAGAATTATGGAATGGCACCTTTTGAGATTTCTTTTCAAGTCAAGAACGAACTGAATTTGAAACGGGGGTTCAAATAGAACAGACATCTAGACTAAGTGCAAGGAGTATCTTACCAATTCTCCTGAAGGAAGTATCATATCATTGTTCTGGTCTCCATCAAAGGATCCACACAGGCCACAAGTTCTTCCTGCAAAGTAACTGAGGTACACATCAGCACTGTCCATTCCATCGTAGCTAACCCATAAGAAATCTGTTACCAGATTCTACAAAAGAGAAAGGAAAAAGAATCCCACACATCGTTAAACATGCAAGAACATTCAAAACTTCTTGCATGAGGTTGGAATAACTTATTACCACACAACCTCATGGAAAACTCTATGAACGACGAATACAGAAGATTCATATCAATTTCTAGGCTTTTCCATTTTAAACACATAACTAAAGTACATGGCACGTAATAGAATTCCTTACATTACACACAGCCCAACCATTTTTGAAATACTAAATATGAAAAACAGGGTTTATCTATGACATACCATGGATGTCACATCCCTGTAGATCCACACTTGCTCATCCATGTAAGGCAGGTTTTCAGAGACATCTCTTCCATTCACTCTGACATGGAAGCCCTTGATCAGAGCGTATCTTCTATCGCTCAGGTCAAGTACCACTTCCCTCAGGTAAGAAACACTGTCAGATGGGTGCAGCCGTTCATTGTTGGACCACAGGTGGTAGTCACTGGAATTCTGGCAATCTCTGACCAGCGTGTAGTCACAATCACCCTGGAAGTTATATTTCTTATCGTCAAAGGTCACATAATGGGGGTCACCCCAGATCTGGCAATACCCAGGAGCTATAAGTATAAGACAAAATCAGACAAAAAAGGAATGATCAGTATCAACATCAGTGGTATCATCTGTACATCGCAATTGCCTTGCAGAGCTATCTTATATCTTGTACAAAGTGGCATGTTGATAAAAACATCTTCATCTAATGACTTCTGAAAACGAACTTCTCACCTCTGAAGCAGGCATCTCCGAGAGAGGTGTAGCCATCTCTGCAGTAACAGCTTGGAAAACCGTTCCTGATTTCGCATTCTTCGTTCTCTCCACACTGGAATTCGGAACACTCTGCAAGCCCACCTCGACAAAGGCAGTGTTGTGTGCAGCCTGGGTCAGTCCATGCTCCTCCAGACTGTCAAAAAGTGCAACAAAGGAAAAATGCTGGAAGTTAGAATATATGAACAACTTTACAGATGCATTACCATAGCTGCTCTTGGCAAAATTGAACAGCTGAATTGGCAAATGAAGATGTCTTGATCCTCTTGCAGATTAAGCAGTGAATGGAAGCATGGAACATTTTCATACTGGTAGGTACTTCAGCGCTCGATTTCAAACTTACCGGAATATAAACACCACTATCCAGAGTGCAACCACACTGTGATGGATCCACACAGTGCCCACCATCCAGTACAAGACCATCTGCACATCTACACGTTTCCTGGCAAGTGGTATTGCAGGACAATGTGCTCGCAGCAGAGGAACAGGTTGCTGGACAGCCACTGAAGCAGGGGTCGTACACAGTGTTGGAAGGACAGTTCAGTGCTGCACACAAGATCAAATATGGAACACAGTTTATGTATGCAAGAATATCATCTGAAAACCTACATGAAAACAAATTTCTCTCCAATCTTATCTCTCTGACAACAATGCATCGACTCTCCAGACAAACGTAATAAAAATCGTCTTTCTAGTGACTTACGGCATTCTTCCACAAGCAATCTCCATCTGCCAGGTTTCCCTCCCTTGCTCCTGCAGGCACGAGCGTATTGTGCAAGACTGGAACACAGAGCATCATCACCGGTAAGACACACGTCATAGACGCACGAATCATAGTAGTCGTCTGGATCCACGATCTCAAGGCAGGATTCAAATGGTCCTGAAGGAATAGAAAGTGCAGGTCAAAATGGTTTATGGACAATTGAAAGTGATTCTATATTTCCCAGCCATCGTCTCCTACCCATCTTGATAATTTCTTCACAGCTTTTCCTCTAACCACAAACTGATACTGTTTTTGAAAAATACAAATATTCAGAACTGTAGGAAAACTACAGGAAGAGAAGGTTGTTTCAGATGTGTTTCATTCTTACCGGAAGGATCCTTCAAATAATAGCACAGATCGTTGGATGCAGACAAGCTGTTCACTCCATCCTCACAAGGGTCAGTTGGACCTGGATCCACACCATCACATTGGTCAGGGTACGCAACCCAGCTGTTTCCAAACTCAGTTGCTGATCTTGCCTGTTGAGAATTACCATCAACCATAACCATCATGAGTATCATCAAAGTATCAGACTGGTAATTGCATCACTGTAACACTCATCACAAAATATTAGAATTATGGAATGGCACCTTTTGAGATTTCTTTTCAAGTCAAGAACGAACTGAATTTGAAACGGGGGTTCAAATAGAACAGACATCTAGACTAAGTGCAAGGAGTATCTTACCAATTCTCCTGAAGGAAGTATCATATCATTGTTCTGGTCTCCATCAAAGGATCCACACAGGCCACAAGTTCTTCCTGCAAAGTAACTGAGGTACACATCAGCACTGTCCATTCCATCGTAGCTAACCCATAAGAAATCTGTTACCAGATTCTACAAAAGAGAAAGGAAAAAGAATCCCACACATCGTTAAACATGCAAGAACATTCAAAACTTCTTGCATGAGGTTGGAATAACTTATTACCACACAACCTCATGGAAAACTCTATGAACGACGAATACAGAAGATTCATATCAATTTCTAGGCTTTTCCATTTTAAACACATAACTAAAGTACATGGCACGTAATAGAATTCCTTACATTACACACAGCCCAACCATTTTTGAAATACTAAATATGAAAAACAGGGTTTATCTATGACATACCATGGATGTCACATCCCTGTAGATCCACACTTGCTCATCCATGTAAGGCAGGTTTTCAGAGACATCTCTTCCATTCACTCTGACATGGAAGCCCTTGATCAGAGCGTATCTTCTATCGCTCAGGTCAAGTACCACTTCCCTCAGGTAAGAAACACTGTCAGATGGGCGCAGCCGTTCATTGTTGGACCACAGGTGGTAGTCACTGGAATTCTGGCAATCTCTGACCAGCGTGTAGTCACAATCACCCTGGAAGTTATATTTCTTATCGTCAAAGGTCACATAATGGGGGTCACCCCAGATCTGGCAATACCCAGGAGCTATAAGTATGAGACAAAATCAGACAAAAAAGGAATGATCAGTATCAACATCAGTGGTATCATCTGTACATCGCAATTGCCTTGCAGAGCTATCTTATATCTTGTACAAAGTGGCATGTTGATAAAAACATCTTCATCTAATGACTTCTGAAAACGAACTTCTCACCTCTGAAGCAGGCATCTCCGAGAGAGGTGTAGCCATCTCTGCAGTAACAGCTTGGAAAACCGTTCCTGATTTCGCATTCTTCGTTCTCTCCACACTGGAATTCGGAACACTCTGCAAGCCCACCTCGACAAAGGCAGTGTTGTGTGCAGCCTGGGTCAGTCCATGCTCCTCCAGACTGTCAAAAAGTGCAACAAAGGAAAAATGCTGGAAGTTAGAATATATGAACAACTTTACAGATGCATTACCATAGCTGCTCTTGGCAAAATTGAACAGCTGAATTGGCAAATGAAGATGTCTTGATCCTCTTGCAGATTAAGCAGTGAATGGAAGCATGGAACATTTTCATACTGGTAGGTACTTCAGCGCTCGATTTCAAACTTACCGGAATATAAACACCACTATCCAGAGTGCAACCACACTGTGATGGATCCACACAGTGCCCACCATCCAGTACAAGACCATCTGCACATCTACACGTTTCCTGGCAAGTGGTATTGCAGGACAATGTGCTCGCAGCAGAGGAACAGGTTGCTGGACAGCCACTGAAGCAGGGGTCGTACACAGTGTTGGAAGGACAGTTCAGTGCTGCACACAAGATCAAATATGGAACACAGTTTATGTATGCAAGAATATCATCTGAAAACCTACATGAAAACAAATTTCTCTCCAATCTTATCTCTCTGACAACAATGCATCGACTCTCCAGACAAACGTAATAAAAATCGTCTTTCTAGTGACTTACGGCATTCTTCCACAAGCAATCTCCATCTGCCAGGTTTCCCTCCCTTGCTCCTGCAGGCACGAGCGTATTGTGCAAGACTGGAACACAGAGCATCATCACCGGTAAGACACACGTCATAGACGCACGAATCATAGTAGTCGTCTGGATCCACGATCTCAAGGCAGGATTCAAATGGTCCTGAAGGAATAGAAAGTGCAGGTCAAAATGGTTTATGGACAATTGAAAGTGATTCTATATTTCCCAGCCATCGTCTCCTACCCATCTTGATAATTTCTTCACAGCTTTTCCTCTAACCACAAACTGATACTGTTTTTGAAAAATACAAATATTCAGAACTGTAGGAAAACTACAGGAAGAGAAGGTTGTTTCAGATGTGTTTCATTCTTACCGGAAGGATCCTTCAAATAATAGCACAGATCGTTGGATGCAGACAAGCTGTTCACTCCATCCTCACAAGGGTCAGTTGGACCTGGATCCACACCATCACATTGGTCAGGGTACGCAACCCAGCTGTTTCCAAACTCAGTTGCTGATCTTGCCTGTTGAGAATTACCATCAACCATAACCATCATGAGTATCATCAAAGTATCAGACTGGTAATTGCATCACTGTAACACTCATCACAAAATATTAGAATTATGGAATGGCACCTTTTGAGATTTCTTTTCAAGTCAAGAACGAACTGAATTTGAAACGGGGGTTCAAATAGAACAGACATCTAGACTAAGTGCAAGGAGTATCTTACCAATTCTCCTGAAGGAAGTATCATATCATTGTTCTGGTCTCCATCAAAGGATCCACACAGGCCACAAGTTCTTCCTGCAAAGTAACTGAGGTACACATCAGCACTGTCCATTCCATCGTAGCTAACCCATAAGAAATCTGTTACCAGATTCTACAAAAGAGAAAGGAAAAAGAATCCCACACATCGTTAAACATGCAAGAACATTCAAAACTTCTTGCATGAGGTTGGAATAACTTATTACCACACAACCTCATGGAAAACTCTATGAACGACGAATACAGAAGATTCATATCAATTTCTAGGCTTTTCCATTTTAAACACATAACTAAAGTACATGGCACGTAATAGAATTCCTTACATTACACACAGCCCAACCATTTTTGAAATACTAAATATGAAAAACAGGGTTTATCTATGACATACCATGGATGTCACATCCCTGTAGATCCACACTTGCTCATCCATGTAAGGCAGGTTTTCAGAGACATCTCTTCCATTCACTCTGACATGGAAGCCCTTGATCAGAGCGTATCTTCTATCGCTCAGGTCAAGTACCACTTCCCTCAGGTAAGAAACACTGTCAGATGGGCGCAGCCGTTCATTGTTGGACCACAGGTGGTAGTCACTGGAATTCTGGCAATCTCTGACCAGCGTGTAGTCACAATCACCCTGGAAGTTATATTTCTTATCGTCAAAGGTCACATAATGGGGGTCACCCCAGATCTGGCAATACCCAGGAGCTATAAGTATGAGACAAAATCAGACAAAAAAGGAATGATCAGTATCAACATCAGTGGTATCATCTGTACATCGCAATTGCCTTGCAGAGCTATCTTATATCTTGTACAAAGTGGCATGTTGATAAAAACATCTTCATCTAATGACTTCTGAAAACGAACTTCTCACCTCTGAAGCAGGCATCTCCGAGAGAGGTGTAGCCATCTCTGCAGTAACAGCTTGGAAAACCGTTCCTGATTTCGCATTCTTCGTTCTCTCCACACTGGAATTCGGAACACTCTGCAAGCCCACCTCGACAAAGGCAGTGTTGTGTGCAGCCTGGGTCAGTCCATGCTCCTCCAGACTGTCAAAAAGTGCAACAAAGGAAAAATGCTGGAAGTTAGAATATATGAACAACTTTACAGATGCATTACCATAGCTGCTCTTGGCAAAATTGAACAGCTGAATTGGCAAATGAAGATGTCTTGATCCTCTTGCAGATTAAGCAGTGAATGGAAGCATGGAACATTTTCATACTGGTAGGTACTTCAGCGCTCGATTTCAAACTTACCGGAATATAAACACCACTATCCAGAGTGCAACCACACTGTGATGGATCCACACAGTGCCCACCATCCAGTACAAGACCATCTGCACATCTACACGTTTCCTGGCAAGTGGTATTGCAGGACAATGTGCTCGCAGCAGAGGAACAGGTTGCTGGACAGCCACTGAAGCAGGGGTCGTACACAGTGTTGGAAGGACAGTTCAGTGCTGCACACAAGATCAAATATGGAACACAGTTTATGTATGCAAGAATATCATCTGAAAACCTACATGAAAACAAATTTCTCTCCAATCTTATCTCTCTGACAACAATGCATCGACTCTCCAGACAAACGTAATAAAAATCGTCTTTCTAGTGACTTACGGCATTCTTCCACAAGCAATCTCCATCTGCCAGGTTTCCCTCCCTTGCTCCTGCAGGCACGAGCGTATTGTGCAAGACTGGAACACAGAGCATCATCACCGGTAAGACACACGTCATAGACGCACGAATCATAGTAGTCGTCTGGATCCACGATCTCAAGGCAGGATTCAAATGGTCCTGAAGGAATAGAAAGTGCAGGTCAAAATGGTTTATGGACAATTGAAAGTGATTCTATATTTCCCAGCCATCGTCTCCTACCCATCTTGATAATTTCTTCACAGCTTTTCCTCTAACCACAAACTGATACTGTTTTTGAAAAATACAAATATTCAGAACTGTAGGAAAACTACAGGAAGAGAAGGTTGTTTCAGATGTGTTTCATTCTTACCGGAAGGATCCTTCAAATAATAGCACAGATCGTTGGATGCAGACAAGCTGTTCACTCCATCCTCACAAGGGTCAGTTGGACCTGGATCCACACCATCACATTGGTCAGGGTACGCAACCCAGCTGTTTCCAAACTCAGTTGCTGATCTTGCCTGTTGAGAATTACCATCAACCATAACCATCATGAGTATCATCAAAGTATCAGACTGGTAATTGCATCACTGTAACACTCATCACAAAATATTAGAATTATGGAATGGCACCTTTTGAGATTTCTTTTCAAGTCAAGAACGAACTGAATTTGAAACGGGGGTTCAAATAGAACAGACATCTAGACTAAGTGCAAGGAGTATCTTACCAATTCTCCTGAAGGAAGTATCATATCATTGTTCTGGTCTCCATCAAAGGATCCACACAGGCCACAAGTTCTTCCTGCAAAGTAACTGAGGTACACATCAGCACTGTCCATTCCATCGTAGCTAACCCATAAGAAATCTGTTACCAGATTCTACAAAAGAGAAAGGAAAAAGAATCCCACACATCGTTAAACATGCAAGAACATTCAAAACTTCTTGCATGAGGTTGGAATAACTTATTACCACACAACCTCATGGAAAACTCTATGAACGACGAATACAGAAGATTCATATCAATTTCTAGGCTTTTCCATTTTAAACACATAACTAAAGTACATGGCACGTAATAGAATTCCTTACATTACACACAGCCCAACCATTTTTGAAATACTAAATATGAAAAACAGGGTTTATCTATGACATACCATGGATGTCACATCCCTGTAGATCCACACTTGCTCATCCATGTAAGGCAGGTTTTCAGAGACATCTCTTCCATTCACTCTGACATGGAAGCCCTTGATCAGAGCGTATCTTCTATCGCTCAGGTCAAGTACCACTTCCCTCAGGTAAGAAACACTGTCAGATGGGCGCAGCCGTTCATTGTTGGACCACAGGTGGTAGTCACTGGAATTCTGGCAATCTCTGACCAGCGTGTAGTCACAATCACCCTGGAAGTTATATTTCTTATCGTCAAAGGTCACATAATGGGGGTCACCCCAGATCTGGCAATACCCAGGAGCTATAAGTATCAAAATCAGACAAAAAAGGAATGATCAGTATCAACATCAGTGGTATCATCTGTACATCGCAATTGCCTTGCAGAGCTATCTTATATCTTGTACAAAGTGGCATGTTGATAAAAACATCTTCATCTAATGACTTCTGAAAACGAACTTCTCACCTCTGAAGCAGGCATCTCCGAGAGAGGTGTAGCCATCTCTGCAGTAACAGCTTGGAAAACCGTTCCTGATTTCGCATTCTTCGTTCTCTCCACACTGGAATTCGGAACACTCTGCAAGCCCACCTCGACAAAGGCAGTGTTGTGTGCAGCCTGGGTCAGTCCATGCTCCTCCAGACTGTCAAAAAGTGCAACAAAGGAAAAATGCTGGAAGTTAGAATATATGAACAACTTTACAGATGCATTACCATAGCTGCTCTTGGCAAAATTGAACAGCTGAATTGGCAAATGAAGATGTCTTGATCCTCTTGCAGATTAAGCAGTGAATGGAAGCATGGAACATTTTCATACTGGTAGGTACTTCAGCGCTCGATTTCAAACTTACCGGAATATAAACACCACTATCCAGAGTGCAACCACACTGTGATGGATCCACACAGTGCCCACCATCCAGTACAAGACCATCTGCACATCTACACGTTTCCTGGCAAGTGGTATTGCAGGACAATGTGCTCGCAGCAGAGGAACAGGTTGCTGGACAGCCACTGAAGCAGGGGTCGTACACAGTGTTGGAAGGACAGTTCAGTGCTGCACACAAGATCAAATATGGAACACAGTTTATGTATGCAAGAATATCATCTGAAAACCTACATGAAAACAAATTTCTCTCCAATCTTATCTCTCTGACAACAATGCATCGACTCTCCAGACAAACGTAATAAAAATCGTCTTTCTAGTGACTTACGGCATTCTTCCACAAGCAATCTCCATCTGCCAGGTTTCCCTCCCTTGCTCCTGCAGGCACGAGCGTATTGTGCAAGACTGGAACACAGAGCATCATCACCGGTAAGACACACGTCATAGACGCACGAATCATAGTAGTCGTCTGGATCCACGATCTCAAGGCAGGATTCAAATGGTCCTGAAGGAATAGAAAGTGCAGGTCAAAATGGTTTATGGACAATTGAAAGTGATTCTATATTTCCCAGCCATCGTCTCCTACCCATCTTGATAATTTCTTCACAGCTTTTCCTCTAACCACAAACTGATACTGTTTTTGAAAAATACAAATATTCAGAACTGTAGGAAAACTACAGGAAGAGAAGGTTGTTTCAGATGTGTTTCATTCTTACCGGAAGGATCCTTCAAATAATAGCACAGATCGTTGGATGCAGACAAGCTGTTCACTCCATCCTCACAAGGGTCAGTTGGACCTGGATCCACACCATCACATTGGTCAGGGTACGCAACCCAGCTGTTTCCAAACTCAGTTGCTGATCTTGCCTGTTGAGAATTACCATCAACCATAACCATCATGAGTATCATCAAAGTATCAGACTGGTAATTGCATCACTGTAACACTCATCACAAAATATTAGAATTATGGAATGGCACCTTTTGAGATTTCTTTTCAAGTCAAGAACGAACTGAATTTGAAACGGGGGTTCAAATAGAACAGACATCTAGACTAAGTGCAAGGAGTATCTTACCAATTCTCCTGAAGGAAGTATCATATCATTGTTCTGGTCTCCATCAAAGGATCCACACAGGCCACAAGTTCTTCCTGCAAAGTAACTGAGGTACACATCAGCACTGTCCATTCCATCGTAGCTAACCCATAAGAAATCTGTTACCAGATTCTACAAAAGAGAAAGGAAAAAGAATCCCACACATCGTTAAACATGCAAGAACATTCAAAACTTCTTGCATGAGGTTGGAATAACTTATTACCACACAACCTCATGGAAAACTCTATGAACGACGAATACAGAAGATTCATATCAATTTCTAGGCTTTTCCATTTTAAACACATAACTAAAGTACATGGCACGTAATAGAATTCCTTACATTACACACAGCCCAACCATTTTTGAAATACTAAATATGAAAAACAGGGTTTATCTATGACATACCATGGATGTCACATCCCTGTAGATCCACACTTGCTCATCCATGTAAGGCAGGTTTTCAGAGACATCTCTTCCATTCACTCTGACATGGAAGCCCTTGATCAGAGCGTATCTTCTATCGCTCAGGTCAAGTACCACTTCCCTCAGGTAAGAAACACTGTCAGATGGGCGCAGCCGTTCATTGTTGGACCACAGGTGGTAGTCACTGGAATTCTGGCAATCTCTGACCAGCGTGTAGTCACAATCACCCTGGAAGTTATATTTCTTATCGTCAAAGGTCACATAATGGGGGTCACCCCAGATCTGGCAATACCCAGGAGCTATAAGTATGAGACAAAATCAGACAAAAAAGGAATGATCAGTATCAACATCAGTGGTATCATCTGTACATCGCAATTGCCTTGCAGAGCTATCTTATATCTTGTACAAAGTGGCATGTTGATAAAAACATCTTCATCTAATGACTTCTGAAAACGAACTTCTCACCTCTGAAGCAGGCATCTCCGAGAGAGGTGTAGCCATCTCTGCAGTAACAGCTTGGAAAACCGTTCCTGATTTCGCATTCTTCGTTCTCTCCACACTGGAATTCGGAACACTCTGCAAGCCCACCTCGACAAAGGCAGTGTTGTGTGCAGCCTGGGTCAGTCCATGCTCCTCCAGACTGTCAAAAAGTGCAACAAAGGAAAAATGCTGGAAGTTAGAATATATGAACAACTTTACAGATGCATTACCATAGCTGCTCTTGGCAAAATTGAACAGCTGAATTGGCAAATGAAGATGTCTTGATCCTCTTGCAGATTAAGCAGTGAATGGAAGCATGGAACATTTTCATACTGGTAGGTACTTCAGCGCTCGATTTCAAACTTACCGGAATATAAACACCACTATCCAGAGTGCAACCACACTGTGATGGATCCACACAGTGCCCACCATCCAGTACAAGACCATCTGCACATCTACACGTTTCCTGGCAAGTGGTATTGCAGGACAATGTGCTCGCAGCAGAGGAACAGGTTGCTGGACAGCCACTGAAGCAGGGGTCGTACACAGTGTTGGAAGGACAGTTCAGTGCTGCACACAAGATCAAATATGGAACACAGTTTATGTATGCAAGAATATCATCTGAAAACCTACATGAAAACAAATTTCTCTCCAATCTTATCTCTCTGACAACAATGCATCGACTCTCCAGACAAACGTAATAAAAATCGTCTTTCTAGTGACTTACGGCATTCTTCCACAAGCAATCTCCATCTGCCAGGTTTCCCTCCCTTGCTCCTGCAGGCACGAGCGTATTGTGCAAGACTGGAACACAGAGCATCATCACCGGTAAGACACACGTCATAGACGCACGAATCATAGTAGTCGTCTGGATCCACGATCTCAAGGCAGGATTCAAATGGTCCTGAAGGAATAGAAAGTGCAGGTCAAAATGGTTTATGGACAATTGAAAGTGATTCTATATTTCCCAGCCATCGTCTCCTACCCATCTTGATAATTTCTTCACAGCTTTTCCTCTAACCACAAACTGATACTGTTTTTGAAAAATACAAATATTCAGAACTGTAGGAAAACTACAGGAAGAGAAGGTTGTTTCAGATGTGTTTCATTCTTACCGAAGGATCCTTCAAATAATAGCACAGATCGTTGGATGCAGACAAGCTGTTCACTCCATCCTCACAAGGGTCAGTTGGACCTGGATCCACACCATCACATTGGTCAGGGTACGCAACCCAGCTGTTTCCAAACTCAGTTGCTGATCTTGCCTGTTGAGAATTACCATCAACCATAACCATCATGAGTATCATCAAAGTATCAGACTGGTAATTGCATCACTGTAACACTCATCACAAAATATTAGAATTATGGAATGGCACCTTTTGAGATTTCTTTTCAAGTCAAGAACGAACTGAATTTGAAACGGGGGTTCAAATAGAACAGACATCTAGACTAAGTGCAAGGAGTATCTTACCAATTCTCCTGAAGGAAGTATCATATCATTGTTCTGGTCTCCATCAAAGGATCCACACAGGCCACAAGTTCTTCCTGCAAAGTAACTGAGGTACACATCAGCACTGTCCATTCCATCGTAGCTAACCCATAAGAAATCTGTTACCAGATTCTACAAAAGAAAGGAAAAAGAATCCCACACATCGTTAAACATGCAAGAACATTCAAAACTTCTTGCATGAGGTTGGAATAACTTATTACCACACAACCTCATGGAAAACTCTATGAACGACGAATACAGAAGATTCATATCAATTTCTAGGCTTTTCCATTTTAAACACATAACTAAAGTACATGGCACGTAATAGAATTCCTTACATTACACACAGCCCAACCATTTTTGAAATACTAAATATGAAAAACAGGGTTTATCTATGACATACCATGGATGTCACATCCCTGTAGATCCACACTTGCTCATCCATGTAAGGCAGGTTTTCAGAGACATCTCTTCCATTCACTCTGACATGGAAGCCCTTGATCAGAGCGTATCTTCTATCGCTCAGGTCAAGTACCACTTCCCTCAGGTAAGAAACACTGTCAGATGGGCGCAGCCGTTCATTGTTGGACCACAGGTGGTAGTCACTGGAATTCTGGCAATCTCTGACCAGCGTGTAGTCACAATCACCCTGGAAGTTATATTTCTTATCGTCAAAGGTCACATAATGGGGGTCACCCCAGATCTGGCAATACCCAGGAGCTATAAGTATGAGACAAAATCAGACAAAAAAGGAATGATCAGTATCAACATCAGTGGTATCATCTGTACATCGCAATTGCCTTGCAGAGCTATCTTATATCTTGTACAAAGTGGCATGTTGATAAAAACATCTTCATCTAATGACTTCTGAAAACGAACTTCTCACCTCTGAAGCAGGCATCTCCGAGAGAGGTGTAGCCATCTCTGCAGTAACAGCTTGGAAAACCGTTCCTGATTTCGCATTCTTCGTTCTCTCCACACTGGAATTCGGAACACTCTGCAAGCCCACCTCGACAAAGGCAGTGTTGTGTGCAGCCTGGGTCAGTCCATGCTCCTCCAGACTGTCAAAAAGTGCAACAAAGGAAAAATGCTGGAAGTTAGAATATATGAACAACTTTACAGATGCATTACCATAGCTGCTCTTGGCAAAATTGAACAGCTGAATTGGCAAATGAAGATGTCTTGATCCTCTTGCAGATTAAGCAGTGAATGGAAGCATGGAACATTTTCATACTGGTAGGTACTTCAGCGCTCGATTTCAAACTTACCGGAATATAACACCACTATCCAGAGTGCAACCACACTGTGATGGATCCACACAGTGCCCACCATCCAGTACAAGACCATCTGCACATCTACACGTTTCCTGGCAAGTGGTATTGCAGGACAATGTGCTCGCAGCAGAGGAACAGGTTGCTGGACAGCCACTGAAGCAGGGTCGTACACAGTGTTGGAAGGACAGTTCAGTGCTGCACACAAGATCAAATATGGAACACAGTTTATGTATGCAAGAATATCATCTGAAAACCTACATGAAAACAAATTTCTCTCCAATCTTATCTCTCTGACAACAATGCATCGACTCTCCAGACAAACGTAATAAAAATCGTCTTTCTAGTGACTTACGGCATTCTTCCACAAGCAATCTCCATCTGCCAGGTTTCCCTCCCTTGCTCCTGCAGGCACGAGCGTATTGTGCAAGACTGGAACACAGAGCATCATCACCGGTAAGACACACGTCATAGACGCACGAATCATAGTAGTCGTCTGGATCCACGATCTCAAGGCAGGATTCAAATGGTCCTGAAGGAATAGAAAGTGCAGGTCAAAATGGTTTATGGACAATTGAAAGTGATTCTATATTTCCCAGCCATCGTCTCCTACCCATCTTGATAATTTCTTCACAGCTTTTCCTCTAACCACAAACTGATACTGTTTTTGAAAAATACAAATATTCAGAACTGTAGGAAAACTACAGGAAGAGAAGGTTGTTTCAGATGTGTTTCATTCTTACCGGAAGGATCCTTCAAATAATAGCACAGATCGTTGGATGCAGACAAGCTGTTCACTCCATCCTCACAAGGGTCAGTTGGACCTGGATCCACACCATCACATTGGTCAGGGTACGCAACCCAGCTGTTTCCAAACTCAGTTGCTGATCTTGCCTGTTGAGAATTACCATCAACCATAACCATCATGAGTATCATCAAAGTATCAGACTGGTAATTGCATCACTGTAACACTCATCACAAAATATTAGAATTATGGAATGGCACCTTTTGAGATTTCTTTTCAAGTCAAGAACGAACTGAATTTGAAACGGGGGTTCAAATAGAACAGACATCTAGACTAAGTGCAAGGAGTATCTTACCAATTCTCCTGAAGGAAGTATCATATCATTGTTCTGGTCTCCATCAAAGGATCCACACAGGCCACAAGTTCTTCCTGCAAAGTAACTGAGGTACACATCAGCACTGTCCATTCCATCGTAGCTAACCCATAAGAAATCTGTTACCAGATTCTACAAAAGAGAAAGGAAAAAGAATCCCACACATCGTTAAACATGCAAGAACATTCAAAACTTCTTGCATGAGGTTGGAATAACTTATTACCACACAACCTCATGGAAAACTCTATGAACGACGAATACAGAAGATTCATATCAATTTCTAGGCTTTTCCATTTTAAACACATAACTAAAGTACATGGCACGTAATAGAATTCCTTACATTACACACAGCCCAACCATTTTTGAAATACTAAATATGAAAAACAGGGTTTATCTATGACATACCATGGATGTCACATCCCTGTAGATCCACACTTGCTCATCCATGTAAGGCAGGTTTTCAGAGACATCTCTTCCATTCACTCTGACATGGAAGCCCTTGATCAGAGCGTATCTTCTATCGCTCAGGTCAAGTACCACTTCCCTCAGGTAAGAAACACTGTCAGATGGGCGCAGCCGTTCATTGTTGGACCACAGGTGGTAGTCACTGGAATTCTGGCAATCTCTGACCAGCGTGTAGTCACAATCACCCTGGAAGTTATATTTCTTATCGTCAAAGGTCACATAATGGGGGTCACCCCAGATCTGGCAATACCCAGGAGCTATAAGTATAGACAAAATCAGACAAAAAAGGAATGATCAGTATCAACATCAGTGGTATCATCTGTACATCGCAATTGCCTTGCAGAGCTATCTTATATCTTGTACAAAGTGGCATGTTGATAAAAACATCTTCATCTAATGACTTCTGAAAACGAACTTCTCACCTCTGAAGCAGGCATCTCCGAGAGAGGTGTAGCCATCTCTGCAGTAACAGCTTGGAAAACCGTTCCTGATTTCGCATTCTTCGTTCTCTCCACACTGGAATTCGGAACACTCTGCAAGCCCACCTCGACAAAGGCAGTGTTGTGTGCAGCCTGGGTCAGTCCATGCTCCTCCAGACTGTCAAAAAGTGCAACAAAGGAAAAATGCTGGAAGTTAGAATATATGAACAACTTTACAGATGCATTACCATAGCTGCTCTTGGCAAATTGAACAGCTGAATTGGCAAATGAAGATGTCTTGATCCTCTTGCAGATTAAGCAGTGATGGAAGCATGGAACATTTTCATACTGGTAGGTACTTCAGCGCTCGATTTCAAACTTACCGGAATATAAACACCACTATCCAGAGTGCAACCACACTGTGATGGATCCACACAGTGCCCACCATCCAGTACAAGACCATCTGCACATCTACACGTTTCCTGGCAAGTGGTATTGCAGGACAATGTGCTCGCAGCAGAGGAACAGGTTGCTGGACAGCCACTGAAGCAGGGGTCGTACACAGTGTTGGAAGGACAGTTCAGTGCTGCACACAAGATCAAATATGGAACACAGTTTATGTATGCAAGAATATCATCTGAAAACCTACATGAAAACAAATTTCTCTCCAATCTTATCTCTCTGACAACAATGCATCGACTCTCCAGACAAACGTAATAAAAATCGTCTTTCTAGTGACTTACGGCATTCTTCCACAAGCAATCTCCATCTGCCAGGTTTCCCTCCCTTGCTCCTGCAGGCACGAGCGTATTGTGCAAGACTGGAACACAGAGCATCATCACCGGTAAGACACACGTCATAGACGCACGAATCATAGTAGTCGTCTGGATCCACGATCTCAAGGCAGGATTCAAATGGTCCTGAAGGAATAGAAAGTGCAGGTCAAAATGGTTTATGGACAATTGAAAGTGATTCTATATTTCCCAGCCATCGTCTCCTACCCATCTTGATAATTTCTTCACAGCTTTTCCTCTAACCACAAACTGATACTGTTTTTGAAAAATACAAATATTCAGAACTGTAGGAAAACTACAGGAAGAGAAGGTTGTTTCAGATGTGTTTCATTCTTACCGGAAGGATCCTTCAAATAATAGCACAGATCGTTGGATGCAGACAAGCTGTTCACTCCATCCTCACAAGGGTCAGTTGGACCTGGATCCACACCATCACATTGGTCAGGGTACGCAACCCAGCTGTTTCCAAACTCAGTTGCTGATCTTGCCTGTTGAGAATTACCATCAACCATAACCATCATGAGTATCATCAAAGTATCAGACTGGTAATTGCATCACTGTAACACTCATCACAAAATATTAGAATTATGGAATGGCACCTTTTGAGATTTCTTTTCAAGTCAAGAACGAACTGAATTTGAAACGGGGGTTCAAATAGAACAGACATCTAGACTAAGTGCAAGGAGTATCTTACCAATTCTCCTGAAGGAAGTATCATATCATTGTTCTGGTCTCCATCAAAGGATCCACACAGGCCACAAGTTCTTCCTGCAAAGTAACTGAGGTACACATCAGCACTGTCCATTCCATCGTAGCTAACCCATAAGAAATCTGTTACCAGATTCTACAAAAGAGAAAGGAAAAAGAATCCCACACATCGTTAAACATGCAAGAACATTCAAAACTTCTTGCATGAGGTTGGAATAACTTATTACCACACAACCTCATGGAAAACTCTATGAACGACGAATACAGAAGATTCATATCAATTTCTAGGCTTTTCCATTTTAAACACATAACTAAAGTACATGGCACGTAATAGAATTCCTTACATTACACACAGCCCAACCATTTTTGAAATACTAAATATGAAAAACAGGGTTTATCTATGACATACCATGGATGTCACATCCCTGTAGATCCACACTTGCTCATCCATGTAAGGCAGGTTTTCAGAGACATCTCTTCCATTCACTCTGACATGGAAGCCCTTGATCAGAGCGTATCTTCTATCGCTCAGGTCAAGTACCACTTCCCTCAGGTAAGAAACACTGTCAGATGGGCGCAGCCGTTCATTGTTGGACCACAGGTGGTAGTCACTGGAATTCTGGCAATCTCTGACCAGCGTGTAGTCACAATCACCCTGGAAGTTATATTTCTTATCGTCAAAGGTCACATAATGGGGGTCACCCCAGATCTGGCAATACCCAGGAGCTATAAGTATGAGACAAAATCAGACAAAAAAGGAATGATCAGTATCAACATCAGTGGTATCATCTGTACATCGCAATTGCCTTGCAGAGCTATCTTATATCTTGTACAAAGTGGCATGTTGATAAAAACATCTTCATCTAATGACTTCTGAAAACGAACTTCTCACCTCTGAAGCAGGCATCTCCGAGAGAGGTGTAGCCATCTCTGCAGTAACAGCTTGGAAAACCGTTCCTGATTTCGCATTCTTCGTTCTCTCCACACTGGAATTCGGAACACTCTGCAAGCCCACCTCGACAAAGGCAGTGTTGTGTGCAGCCTGGGTCAGTCCATGCTCCTCCAGACTGTCAAAAAGTGCAACAAAGGAAAAATGCTGGAAGTTAGAATATATGAACAACTTTACAGATGCATTACCATAGCTGCTCTTGGCAAAATTGAACAGCTGAATTGGCAAATGAAGATGTCTTGATCCTCTTGCAGATTAAGCAGTGATGGAAGCATGGAAATTTACATACTGGTAGGTACTTCAGCGCTCGATTTCAAACTTACCGGAATATAAACACCACTATCCAGAGTGCAACCACACTGTGATGGATCCACACAGTGCCCACCATCCAGTACAAGACCATCTGCACATCTACACTACACGTTTCCTGGCAAGTGGTATTGCAGGACAATGTGCTCGCAGCAGAGGAACAGGTTGCTGGACAGCCACTGAGCTGAAGCAGGGTCGTACACAGTGTTGGAAGGACAGTTCAGTGCTGCACACAAGATCAAATATGGAACACAGTTTATGTATGCAAGAATATCATCTGAAAACCTACATGAAAACAAATTTCTCTCCAATCTTATCTCTCTGACAACAATGCATCGACTCTCCAGACAAACGTAATAAAAATCGTCTTTCTAGTGACTTACGGCATTCTTCCACAAGCAATCTCCATCTGCCAGGTTTCCCTCCCTTGCTCCTGCAGGCACGAGCGTATTGTGCAAGACTGGAACACAGAGCATCATCACCGGTAAGACACACGTCATAGACGCACGAATCATAGTAGTCGTCTGGATCCACGATCTCAAGGCAGGATTCAAATGGTCCTGAAGGAATAGAAAGTGCAGGTCAAAATGGTTTATGGACAATTGAAAGTGATTCTATATTTCCCAGCCATCGTCTCCTACCCATCTTGATAATTTCTTCACAGCTTTTCCTCTAACCACAAACTGATACTGTTTTTGAAAAATACAAATATTCAGAACTGTAGGAAAACTACAGGAAGAGAAGGTTGTTTCAGATGTGTTTCATTCTTACCGGAAGGATCCTTCAAATAATAGCACAGATCGTTGGATGCAGACAAGCTGTTCACTCCATCCTCACAAGGGTCAGTTGGACCTGGATCCACACCATCACATTGGTCAGGGTACGCAACCCAGCTGTTTCCAACTCAGTTGCTGATCTTGCCTGTTGAGAATTACCATCAACCATAACCATCATGAGTATCATCAAAGTATCAGACTGGTAATTGCATCACTGTAACACTCATCACAAAATATTAGAATTATGGAACGGCACCTTTTGAGATTTCTTTTCAAGTCAAGAACGAACTGAATTTGAAACGGGGGTTCAAATAGAACAGACATCTAGACTAAGTGCAAGGAGTATCTTACCAATTCTCCTGAAGGAAGTATCATATCATTGTTCTGGTCTCCATCAAAGGATCCACACAGGCCACAAGTTCTTCCTGCAAAGTAACTGAGGTACACATCAGCACTGTCCATTCCATCGTAGCTAACCCATAAGAAATCTGTTACCAGATTCTACAAAAGAGAAAGGAAAAAGAATCCCACACATCGTTAAACATGCAAGAACATTCAAAACTTCTTGCATGAGGTTGGAATAACTTATTACCACACAACCTCATGGAAAACTCTATGAACGACGAATACAGAAGATTCATATCAATTTCTAGGCTTTTCCATTTTAAACACATAACTAAAGTACATGGCACGTAATAGAATTCCTTACATTACACACAGCCCAACCATTTTTGAAATACTAAATATGAAAAACAGGGTTTATCTATGACATACCATGGATGTCACATCCCTGTAGATCCACACTTGCTCATCCATGTAAGGCAGGTTTTCAGAGACATCTCTTCCATTCACTCTGACATGGAAGCCCTTGATCAGAGCGTATCTTCTATCGCTCAGGTCAAGTACCACTTCCCTCAGGTAAGAAACACTGTCAGATGGGCGCAGCCGTTCATTGTTGGACCACAGGTGGTAGTCACTGGAATTCTGGCAATCTCTGACCAGCGTGTAGTCACAATCACCCTGGAAGTTATATTTCTTATCGTCAAAGGTCACATAATGGGGGTCACCCCAGATCTGGCAATACCCAGGAGCTATAAGTATAAGACAAAATCAGACAAAAAAGGAATGATCAGTATCAACATCAGTGGTATCATCTGTACATCGCAATTGCCTTGCAGAGCTATCTTATATCTTGTACAAAGTGGCATGTTGATAAAAACATCTTCATCTAATGACTTCTGAAAACGAACTTCTCACCTCTGAAGCAGGCATCTCCGAGAGAGGTGTAGCCATCTCTGCAGTAACAGCTTGGAAAACCGTTCCTGATTTCGCATTCTTTTCGTTCTCTCCACACTGGAATTCGGAACACTCTGCAAGCCCACCTCGACAAAGGCAGTGTTGTGTGCAGCCTGGGTCAGTCCATGCTCCTCCAGACTGTCAAAAAGTGCAACAAAGGAAAAATGCTGGAAGTTAGAATATATGAACAACTTTACAGATGCATTACCATAGCTGCTCTTGGCAAAATTGAACAGCTGAATTGGCAAATGAAGATGTCTTGATCCTCTTGCAGATTAAGCAGTGATGGAAGCATGGAACATTTTCATACTGGTAGGTACTTCAGCGCTCGATTTCAAACTTACCGGAATATAAACACCACTATCCAGAGTGCAACCACACTGTGATGGATCCACACAGTGCCCACCATCCAGTACAAGACCATCTGCACATCTACACGTTTCCTGGCAAGTGGTATTGCAGGACAATGTGCTCGCAGCAGAGGAACAGGTTGCTGGACAGCCACTGAAGCAGGGGTCGTACACAGTGTTGGAAGGACAGTTCAGTGCTGCACACAAGATCAAATATGGAACACAGTTTATGTATGCAAGAATATCATCTGAAAACCTACATGAAAACAAATTTCTCTCCAATCTTATCTCTCTGACAACAATGCATCGACTCTCCAGACAAACGTAATAAAAATCGTCTTTCTAGTGACTTACGGCATTCTTCCACAAGCAATCTCCATCTGCCAGGTTTCCCTCCCTTGCTCCTGCAGGCACGAGCGTATTGTGCAAGACTGGAACACAGAGCATCATCACGGTAAGACACACGTCATAGACGCACGAATCATAGTAGTCGTCTGGATCCACGATCTCAAGGCAGGATTCAAATGGTCCTGAAGGAATAGAAAGTGCAGGTCAAAATGGTTTATGGACAATTGAAAGTGATTCTATATTTCCCAGCCATCGTCTCCTACCCATCTTGATAATTTCTTCACAGCTTTTCCTCTAACCACAAACTGATACTGTTTTGAAAAAATACAAATATTCAGAACTGTAGGAAAACTACAGGAAGAGAAGGTTGTTTCAGATGTGTTTCATTCTTACCGGAAGGATCCTTCAAATAATAGCACAGATCGTTGATGCAGACAAGCTGTTCACTCCATCCTCACAAGGGTCAGTTGGACCTGGATCCACACCATCACATTGGTCAGGGTACGCAACCCAGCTGTTTCCAAACTCAGTTGCTGATCTTGCCTGTTGAGAATTACCATCAACCATAACCATCATGAGTATCATCAAAGTATCAGACTGGTAATTGCATCACTGTAACACTCATCACAAAATATTAGAATTATGGAATGGCACCTTTTGAGATTTCTTTTCAAGTCAAGAACGAACTGAATTTGAAACGGGGGTTCAAATAGAACAGACATCTAGACTAAGTGCAAGGAGTATCTTACCAATTCTCCTGAAGGAAGTATCATATCATTGTTCTGGTCTCCATCAAAGGATCCACACAGGCCACAAGTTCTTCCTGCAAAGTAACTGAGGTACACATCAGCACTGTCCATTCCATCGTAGCTAACCCATAAGAAATCTGTTACCAGATTCTACAAAAGAGAAAGGAAAAAAGAATCCACACATCGTTAAACATGCAAGAACATTCAAAACTTCTTGCATGAGGTTGGAATAACTTATTACCACACAACCTCATGGAAAACTCTATGAACGACGAATACAGAAGATTCATATCAATTTCTAGGCTTTTCCATTTTAAACACATAACTAAAGTACATGGCACGTAATAGAATTCCTTACATTACACACAGCCCAACCATTTTTGAAATACTAAATATGAAAAACAGGGTTTATCTATGACATACCATGGATGTCACATCCCTGTAGATCCACACTTGCTCATCCATGTAAGGCAGGTTTTCAGAGACATCTCTTCCATTCACTCTGACATGGAAGCCCTTGATCAGAGCGTATCTTCTATCGCTCAGGTCAAGTACCACTTCCCTCAGGTAAGAAACACTGTCAGATGGGCGCAGCCGTTCATTGTTGGACCACAGGTGGTAGTCACTGGAATTCTGGCAATCTCTGACCAGCGTGTAGTCACAATCACCCTGGAAGTTATATTTCTTATCGTCAAAGGTCACATAATGGGGGTCACCCCAGATCTGGCAATACCCAGGAGCTATAAGTATGAGACAAAATCAGACAAAAAAGGAATGATCAGTATCAACATCAGTGGTATCATCTGTACATCGCAATTGCCTTGCAGAGCTATCTTATATCTTGTACAAAGTGGCATGTTGATAAAAACATCTTCATCTAATGACTTCTGAAAACGAACTTCTCACCTCTGAAGCAGGCATCTCCGAGAGAGGTGTAGCCATCTCTGCAGTAACAGCTTGGAAAACCGTTCCTGATTTCGCATTCTTCGTTCTCTCCCACACTGGAATTCGGAACACTCTGCAAGCCCACCTCGACAAAGGCAGTGTTGTGTGCAGCCTGGGTCAGTCCATGCTCCTCCAGACTGTCAAAAAGTGCAACAAAGGAAAAATGCTGGAAGTTAGAATATATGAACAACTTTACAGATGCATTACCATAGCTGCTCTTGGCAAAATTGAACAGCTGAATTGGCAAATGAAGATGTCTTGATCCTCTTGCAGATTAAGCAGTGAATGGAAGCATGGAACATTTCATACTGGTAGGTACTTCAGCGCTCGATTTCAAACTTACCGGAATATAAACACCACTATCCAGAGTGCAACAACTGTGATGGATCCACACAGTGCCCACCATCCAGTACAAGACCATCTGCACATCTACACGTTTCCTGGCAAGTGGTATTGCAGGACAATGTGCTCGCAGCAGAGGAACAGGTTGCTGGACAGCCACTGAAGCAGGGGTCGTACACAGTGTTGGAAGGACAGTTTCAGTGCTGCACACAGATCAAATATGGAACACAGTTTATGTATGCAAGAATATCATCTGAAAACCTACAT